CTTATTAAACTTTAGGAATTAATAGGGGGGCGTTATAAATTAATATAGGGGCGTCGCCCTTATAGGGGCGTCGTTTTCTATCTTCTTAATTAGCTTAGAAAATTAGTATATCCCTATAAAGGCAGTAAAAATAATTTTACTAACACTTCTACTATTCTAACACACTATTATCTAATTAGCCTATATAGCTATAAGAAATAGGCTCTATAAGGGGGTCCTCTTTATAGCTATAGAAAACAGGCTCTATAAGGGGCTCCTCTTTATAGCTATAAAGATTACCTCTTATAGAGCCTATTTCTTATAGCTATAAAGAGCACCTCTTTTCTTATTTAAGTTTTATAAAGGTATATTACTTATTACTTTTTTTTATAAATCTTAAATAAGGCTATATAATTAAAAGCGCCTACTATCTAGCTATCTTTTTATAATATAGTTATAAGGATTTATTATTACTATTAACTATTTCTTACTAACTTTATATCCTTTAAATACTAGACTATAATAGCTATTTATTTATATAAGTCCTTATAGTCTTTTCTTTACTAAGAACACTTAACTAGCTTCTTATTTATTACTAAGAGGAGGTTAGAATCTAGCTTTAACTTAATTAACTTACCTCTTATATAGACCTATTCTTACTTTTAAGTAGGTAGCCTTACTTCTTACTACTAGTACTTTAGTTATAATTCTAAGTATAGGTTTAGCTAGCTAACTAGCCCTCTTAAGGTAAGGCTAGTTATAATAAGATAAGTTACGCTATATTCTTTAGCTTACTATAAAGAGATACTATAATCTTTAGGTTAAGAATCTAGTAGTATAAATTAAAAGAAGACGTCTCTTAAAGACGCTACTAAGGGTATATCTCCTATTTACTAAAAGTTACTAAATTAAGTATTTTAGTAAAGATCTTATAGTAGTATAAGATACTAAGCTTAGTTAAAACTATATAATCTAAATTATATTCTTTAATAAGGGCTAAGAATAGCCTTTTACTAGAAGGTATTACCTTTTTTACTAGCTAGTATTACTTTTTAATTAACACTAAACACTTTAAAAAAAGTAGTATATAAAGTTTACTAAGAAGCTTAAGGTAAGTCCCTATATACTTCTAGCTTTTAAGGACTTTATCTTTAGTATAAGCTTACTTAAAGTATAACTTCTAGTTACTAATTATATCTTATATAATAGTAATAAGTTAATATAAGTAACTAAGACTATTTAAGAGATAGCCCTTAATATTATTATTACTTAACTTTATACTAAAGGTAATATAAATACTAAAGTTTTAGTATTTTTAAATAAAATAGTAAGCCTACTATACTCTTAAGGGTAAGTATATTATATAGAGGTACTAAAGGATAAGGCGTTAATTAATAAACTCTTTATAAAGTTTAGCCTAGGCTTTCTTAAAGGCTTACTTAGTTTTAGTAAAAATAATAAGCTTTTATATTATTAACACCTTATAATATATATAAAGGAGGGCCTTATTTACTAGTATATTAATCTAGGCCTAGTCCTTATTACTAAGCTAGGCTATTACTTATATTTATAGCTAATAAGCCTTATTATCTAACGCACTACTATTACTACTATAACTATAGTCCTTAAGCTACTTCTACTTAGCCTTAAGTATAATATTAAAGTTAATATAGTAAATATAAAGCTATTACTAGACTCCTAGAAACTACTTATTTAGTATAGCCTTTATCTACTTATTATAGTCTATAATTATAATAGTAAAATAATAGACTAAGTTTTAGTCTATAAGTTAGTAAATACTAGCTAAAAGAAACTAAAAGCCCTCTAGCCTTTTATTATAAATAAGGCTAAATATAGTATTATAAATAAATCTAAAGTAGGTCTACTTAGTAGCCTAAAAGAATAGAAGTTTAAAGTAATTAGTGTTATAGGTATTATTAAAACTAATTACTTTAAGGAATTACTTTTATATTTAGAGATAGTAAGGAAAAGTCTAAATAAGGCTAATAAGGTAGTCTAGCTTATTATCTACCTACTTTACTATATATAGGATATCCTACTTATTAAATAACTTAATTAAAGCTATAGTTAATAAGTACTTACCTAGCTTCTCTTAGTTTATATAAGCTTTAGTATTATAAATATCCTATTAAGTAAATAAGAAATCTAGGAACTACTTTTAAATAATAGTATATATATTATATACCTAAATACTAACTTATTAGCTTATTATATTAATTACTTTTATTATAGGCTATATAAGCTTATAATAAGAAAAATATATAAATACCTTAAGGCTAGGGCTATAGTTATACTAATTATACTAGGTCTTTAGATAATAACGTAATAGCTACTTACCTTCCTCTTAGGTCTCTATAATAACCTACTATTAGTAACTATATTTCTAAGATATATACTATTAAATACTATTATCCCTTAGAGGCCTAGGGCTTTTAAATTAGTTATATTAAATAGTATACTATATAATTTAGCCTTAAGCTTTATATTAGTTCCTTTTTATAATACTAAATCTATTAGTCTTTATAAAAGTATTAACTTAATTAAAAAAGGTATTAAAGGTTTATTTTAGATTACTAAGTATTAGTAGGTTTAAGATATTAAGTATAAAAGGAGAAAAAAATTAGTTACTTTTAGTATAGTAAAAGGCTATAGTTTAAAAAAATACTTTACTTTAAGAGAAAGATTATTATTAAGGTAATTAATATAATAAATTAGCTTAAGGACCTTATTATTTAAGCTATTAAAAAATAAAGTCTTATTATTAAAGAAGTGCTTTTATTAGCTATTAATTAGTCCTAAAGGCCTCTTAAGTAGTCCTAAGAGCCTACTAAGTACTTCTAAAAGCCTACTAAGTAGTTCTAAAAGCCTATTTAATAAGCTTAAGGGCACTATTAAACTACTATATAGTAAGATAAGGAGGTAGCTAGGACTCTTTATTAAGGGGAAAGAGGCTAGGCTCTAGAGAAAGTTATAAGAAAGTAGTCTATTAGGTCTTTATTATTCCTTTAAGGAAATAGTATATAAGGTAAAGTATTAGCTTTATACTAAGGTAATATAGTTTATAGTATAAAAAAGGTTATATATTATATAAGGTATTAACTAAGAGCTTAATAATAAGGTTATACTACCCCTAAGGGTCTTTAGCTCTATAAAATTAGCTAACACTAAGATAGCTACTTATTAATATAAAAGATAATAAAGAGGCACTAGATAATAAGATTAGGTTATAATTAGTTAGTTATTACTTTTAGAAGGTCTAACCTATACTAAGAGGATAAGTTAGTTAAGTTAGACGTTATAAAATAGGCTAAGTTTAGTGCTATAGAAGACCTCTAGCTTTTACTAGTAATACTATAGTAAATAAGGAGTATAAATAAAACTAAGGTTAGATTAATCTAGTAGTAGGGAGAGGGGAAAAAGATAAGCTACCTTATATAGGTCTAGTAGAATTTAGTTATACTAATAATAAATTTTAAGCTAATTAAGAAGATAGAAAACAACGCCCCTATAAGGGTAACGCCCCTATATTAATTTATAACGCCCCCCTATTAATTCCCTAAACTTTATAGTTATAAAAGACTATATATTATTATAAAGACTTTAAGGTAGCTACTAAGTAACCTTATAAGTTAGATTTTACTAGAGCTATATATAGAATTACTTAAGGTTAAAGATTTATTTAAGTTAAAGTGTTTTTAGTATACTATGTCTTTAAGCCTATTACTTTTATTAAGGTATATTTATTTCTTTACTATATAGTAGTAAAAAGAAAACTTAATAAAATAATAAAGATAATAAGAATAATAAAATAGTATAGATTAAGATAGTTATACTACTACTTAATATAGCCTTCTTACTAGCTATTATAGTTTTAATAAGATAAAGCTAGGCTGTAGTAGTGTTATAAAGTAATATAGTATAAAAGTAAAGCGTAATAGTAAAGTAGTAAAGTAAGATAAATAATAATAAGGAGCTAAATAAATAATATAGGATAAAATAAGTAGTAAATAAAAGGTGTATTTATAGTTAACCTTTTTTTTATAAAGGGTTACTTACTAAAGGGATATATACCTAGGGTATATATAATATATTACGTGTGTGTTAGGTATTTAGTCCCTGCTATCTATCTGTCTCCTAACTATAGGCACTTACTACCTTGTCCTGTAACAGACAACGTCTTAACCTAAGTAAGTGTAGGAAGCGTATAGATATACTATACTATAGACCTTATAACTAGGCTAATTTACTAATCTATAGTAGCTATAATAGGCTAAGGCTATAAGAAGTGTAGGAGGGCTTTGCCTACTATAATATACGCCTACACACTTAGATAGTGCCCCTATTTAACCTCATGTATATAACGCACAAGTCACTAGATACTCCTTTCTCCTTAGCTTAGATTAAGTATATTGAGTTACTATACACCTGTTAGAAGGTAGTGCTGGCCCTTTGTAGTAGCTTTATATATAGCTTTAGTGCTTTAAAAACTTAAACATAACCTTAGTATATATTAACTAATACACTCTTAATATGTCTATTATATACTTGTTCCTGCTTAGAATAGACTAGATCTATATATACCTTAGTATTAGAGTTACCTACTTACTATATCCTATTATAGTTAAGGCTAGATCTATGTTTCATTTACTACAGCATAACATTTTTAATAGGGAAAGGCGGAACACTAATACGTGGAGGAACCTTATTTAGTCTAGATAAATCAGGTATATTATTTTTAGAAATCAATAAAGTACTTAAAGAAAGTACCTATTGTGTATATATCTGTTATACCTAAATACTAAAGGATAACCTCAGACTAGCAAGGGGATAATATCAAACTAAATACATAAATTTCAATTCCTTGTCTATATTAATAATAAGTCGCTAATAACCCTAATCTGTTCTTTGCTTTAAACTATAGTATAGCTTCTTTGTTTTATACACTTAGAAAGCTTCCTTAGTAGCAAAAGCTAAGGCTAGACAATCTAGATAGGTCTAAATTATTTAGCAATCTCGGTGCGCTTGTCAAGGACGTCGCCAGCTAAGTGGAAATACTGCTTGGCAGCCTTGGGCTTAGGCTCGCGCTTGTCGAGGACGTCGCCAGCCAGGTGGAAGTACTGCTTGGAAGCCTCAGGTTTGCGCTTCTCAGTTGAAGACAGCGGCGCAGCGACCACCATGGGGCTGAGGACCAGGATAGCGGCGGTGTTTGTGAACTTCATGTTGACTATTGGCTTTTGGGCTGGGTAGACAGGTAGGAGTCTGATGGACGTAAAACTCAGCTGAGCTGTTGTGAAGATTAGGTTGATGTGAGTGTGTGAATAGTAGGTTGATGAGAGTATTTGGAGTGGATGTATTCTAGTTGATGTGGTGATGAGTTAGAATATGCAATCTGGCTGGATGACACTGCGGACTTTATACCTCGGAACTCTATCACAAATCCCTTCTTCGAGATACATGTAACCACACCAAAAATAAGGACATCATCGCCCAGTCTGTATTCAACTGCATCATGCTGACGGCGATTAAATCAGTGATCGTACGGTTTGGTGTTTTCGTCAAGGAAATCACAGTCTTCTGATTAGGCCCACATTGTCATTGGCTCCAATATTCGACTTGATTTGCGGGGCCGACCACACAGTAATCATCGCAGACGTTAGCGGGGTTTCTGACTGTCAGATCTGATGATGCGGAATGTTCTCCTATACAAGCGCGATCAGGATGGCGCTCGCATGAGTGATAACCCGTTTTCTCCTAACAGATGCACGTGATTTTGTAATAGAACATTTCCACGACAGCATTGCGCCTTCATGTCATCCAAAACTGGCAAGCTGACTCTCGAAGTCAGACCTGCACAACAAAGAATAATAAACAATAAAAAGAAAAAAAAAGTAATTAATAAGTAAGCATTACGTTACAAGCTCAAGTGACGTAGCACTGCTGATTGCCATGTGAGTTACTATTGGGAGTAAACATGTGCAGGAAGGTGGGCAGAAACTTATGCCCACCTGTCATCTCACCCGTAATCTCACACACCACTTAGATACACATAAATATAATCATTTGGAATAGTTTATGGCGAATCTGTTGCAAACTCTTGCACATCGAATTTGATGATTTTATGTATAGATCTTAAGTCAAAAGTTTTGAGCTTTATATACATATCTTCTTGTTCTCCAAGTGTGTAATCACCAACTTGACCAGAACATTCGTCTACTTATTTGAATTGATACTTATAAGACTAGTCGAAGATCATTCCTTGCTGTTGATACTTAACCCCTCTCACACTTTCAGCCTTTTTTATCGGAGTCCAACAAACTGCCGTTTATCATCCAGTGCCCTGCTCACGATGTCTTCTCTCCGTGGAGCTGAGAAACTTGGCCAGAGATTGTCCGATGAGTCGGAAGCAACTCTTGAGGAGACGCAAGAGTTTCTACTCAGAGGAAATATGAATTATCCAACGTATTCTGCTCGAAACCGACATCTAAAAGGATTTGGATTCTTTTTTTGGGTAGTTACATGCATCAACGCAGTCCTATTCCCGTTTTCTGCTGTTTGTTCTTTGTCTGCTTTCCAGTGGAAGAACACAATACAGAAAAATCACGACAATTCACTGCTGCGGTTGACAAGCTGGTACTGTAAGAAGTTGAGAGTCTTAAAATACTTGGAGGAGCTTTCTGATCCCGCTATAGCACCGGTTTTCGACCAGACCCAAATAGATATTATCGAAAAGAGAGTTAACGGCTCACTTTTGAACTTGGACAATAGCATCTCCAGGGCGCCACCATCCCCTGAGATCGACGCAGCTTGGGAGCGCATCAGTAGCTTGATGCCGCACGTAATAAGTACGGAGGACGTCATCAGACTAGGAAAAGACCCTTCAAAAACCGCAAGATATCCCGAGGATTGGGGATTTGGGCCAGATGTCCACGTCGCTGAGCTGGATATTTTACACACGATTCACTGTCTTAATGCAATACGACGAGACGTTCATTGGCGCCACTATTTCATTGACGATTACCCGGACGGCAACTTACCAGAGCTTCACCGCGTTCACACAGATCACTGCATTTACATCGTATTGCAGAACCTGATGTGTGGAGCAACTCCAGACCTGATTACGCAGCCCTGGGTCGATGGCCAGCTACATCCCTTTCCCGACTTCAATATCAACAAGAAGTGCAACGAATTCGATTCAATACTTGCATGGCATGAAGACACTATGATTACGGACTCGGCGCGATTCGCTACGATGCGCATACCCTCAGGACAAACACCCTTACCTATGTCAGATGAGTTCCATCGTATGTTCGGATTAGACTCTCACAGCGCGGGTGGCCATGATCATGGACATTTCAAGCGGAATGCGTATTAGCGGTAGCGGAGGGACTTGGAATCTAAGGTTTTCGTGTATTACAGAAAAGAATATTCACAGGAAACTGTCTATGAACTGTCCATCAAAAAACTCAATAGGCTGTAATAATAATGGTGTGAAAGTGCCATGGTCCCAACTCCAATGGTTCACACTTTGCTTCAAAGTACTATCGGTTAGGTTGTAACGATTTGTATCCGTATTTGTTGATTATTATTGAGGCGTATAACAAGTATGAGATATATTGAATCACCGCACGAACGGCTACGGAAATGAGAAGAACAATCAACATTTGGAAGAAAGAAAAAACCGGATTACTATATCGTCGTATAAAAACTACGACAAGTGTTTCGTTAGAGGAGGGTGCAATGCATTCTAGGCAGGTTTTCAAACGACACTGGCCAGGTTTGGGCTCGGGATACTTACAACACCGAAACACATAGCCCGTGACTATGAAAGCCGCTCCTGTAACCGAGGTGGCGGAACCATGGCTGATCTGACTGAGTGATAGCCGGTCCCAATGGATTCTTTTGCAAACTACGTAGCCAGACAGGAATCGGAGTACCCATGTAAAAATACAAATGCTACTTTTGATATTTTTGACGTTAGCATCAAAGTTCTGATAGGATTAAGAATCAACATCTGAACTTAGGCCGCCAAGTATATACTCTTATCACGTCACATTGCTTGATACTACACGCATTACAGTTCGCCTCTATTGATGACATGCCAAGGGATTGTTCTCGGGCATTGAGACAAAAATAAGCTAGTAGTAGTCGATAATTTAGAACATTGTGGCTAATCTTGTCAATTTGCCGAAGATTGCTCGCGGGCGAGTAAAGATCTGCTTTCCTCATCGTCATCAACGTGCTTGCTGGGCAAGCTTCCCGAGCCTGCTCGAGAGAGTGCCAGTGACGCCAACCCACACATAACGAAGGAAATGACGTCAGGCATTCCTTTCCAAATTCCGTCAAGCCTCATGCTCCAGCTGAAGGTTTTAGCAACGAGAGGGCCTGCAAGCAAAGAGCCCATGGTGTCCATCATGGAAAGGGTTGTAAACAACGTTCCAACCATGTCCTTTTGAACAAGGGAGCTAAGAAGTGATCTAGCAAAAGAGCTAAACCCATTTCCAAGAGTATAAAACACTAGACCTAGATACACGTTTTAGTCATCTTGCTAATACCACTGCACTAGACCCCTCCCCTTGGTCTTCTAGCCACGTATGTGTCCTTTTTTCCATATGTTCAGCTCCTTGTTACTGCTTGCCTTGCTGGCTGTTTTACTGTTACGTGCACTGCGTCACTTCACGTCTCGCGGGTGCAATATCACAACTCTATCGCAGCCTAGCGATTCCCGTCAGATCCGTAACAACTGCCAGGGGAGCTATGTTATCCTAGGCTTAAGATAAGAGTAAATACAGCATTTCTACTTTACTACCTGTAGTATTAACAGTAAAGTAACTCGTATAGTATACCGTATACATAAGCAGGAGTCTAGATGTCATAAAGAGCCTATACATCTAGAAAGGCCTGTTTAAGCTGGTCTTTCGTTTTTTACTTAATAATAGGTGGAATAGGGTATTGTAAGAAAAATAGCGTTATTTGGCGATATATAGTAATTCTCGTGGTGATTTGAAAAGGTGTTAATGTTAATGACGAGGGGAAGATGTGGCATTTTCGGGTGCCTCGGATGTGGGGGGTGGGGTGTCTTACAAGTGGGGTACCTATTGAAGTTAAGTTTACCTACTACCTACGTGCTGAATCTGGCCTTGTCCCTAGCTTGATTCTGCGACCTGATGGTTGAGTCGTAATATCAAGGATGGCGTATTAACAGACCCTTGTCATAGTACAAGGTTGTAAATAGTAATAGGTAGCAAGACAGTCGTTTAGTGGATGCTGGTAAATTAACGGCCCCCTGCTGGTAGATTTATGGCCCTCTAAACATGTCCCAGTTAGTTAGTCACCTGCCTACTTCAGTTGGTCCCTACGGAGATACTAACCCTATCTCGTAATCCACCTAACCTAAATCCTAACAGTCGCCGGTATATTGACGGCCGCCCCCTCCTGGTAAATTAACGGCGCGCCAGCCTATCCTGGCTAGCGAAGCGGAGAAACTTAATTCTAGTGCTATATACTCCTAAAGATACGTAGGGTTAGTGATTAAGGTGTTTAGGGTTTGGGTTAGGATTTAGATTAGATAGATATGTTTGCGTGATGAAATGTATTGTTTAGGTGTGTTGTGGTTGTATTGGCTGGAGGGCCGTCAACTTACCACAGGGTGGCCGTTATTTTACCGTTATCCCGTTTGGTTATCTGGTTGTTGGCTTCTGGTACTACATGAAAAGAGCCTGTGGGTCCCATCCCCTGGTTCTTTCAAGCCACATGACAACGGCACACACGGCATGCGCTCTAATGAACTTATCAGTATTGACTACAGGGTGACACTGACGGTGGTTCCCTGATTCGATAGTCTATGCAATATGTGCAGTCGAGCTGACGACTTCGGCCAGCTCTCCACATGCTTCAGTGATATTGTAGCAGCATAAAGGTCTTGGCATCGACCCTTGGTATGCACTTTCGGTACTCATTCTTGGCACCAGCTAGGCTTGCCACAAATACCAACACGATGAGGTCCTTACCAACTGTGCTGCTCCTTCTATGGGCCTCCCTCGTGGTCCCTGCGCTATCAACAGAGTCAACGCCTCTAGCCTTGACTAAGCGGGATTCTCTCTCAGACGTCCTCGACGATATCAAAGACGCTGCAACCTGCGGCAGCTGCAACGCGCTTCTGCTCGTCTTGCAAGCACTCGCACATACCGGCAACGACAACTTCGTAAAGGTTATTACAGATGTATGCACGGCTACAAAGAAAGAAGATTCCGATGTTTGTGCGGGAGCAATCGGCCTGGAAGGCCCCATTCTCGCGCACGACCTCCGTCAGATGACTGTAGGAACTAGAACATCCGACCTCTTCTGCCTCACTGTCTTCGGTCTCTGTCAGTGGCCGGCAGTCGACACGTCTTTCTCTCTTCCTCTGTCTTCCAAGCCAACCACATCAAGGCCCGCGTCCAGCAACAAGCCGCCCATCAAGGTGGTACACATCAGCGATATCCATATCGATCTCAACTACACCACTGGTGCCAGCTACAATTGCACCAAGAACATTTGCTGCCGGCCTTACACCACTGATGACGAGCCGGGCGTTACCGAATACCCAGCTGGTCCGTACGGTAATTCTGCTTGTGATACGCCCTTGTCACTCGAAGAGAGCATGTATTCCGCCATCCAGTCTTTGATCCCCAGCCGTGCCTTCAGCATCTTCACCGGTGATGTCGTTGAGGGAGCTGTCTGTGAGTAATCTATGCCTAAAAAGTTATACTAAGCTCATCAAATAACTGACTGGTTGGACAGGGCTGGTGACTGACGATGAAGTCACATCTGACCTTCAGAACGCAAATAGTCACATGGCATCCCTTGGTCAGGTCTACCCGGTCATGGGCAACCACGACGTATCTCCTGTCAACTCCTTTCCCCCTCCAACAGTAGATACGGATATGTCTACTCAATACGCGTACGACACCCTGTCCGACGCATGGTCCTCTTGGATAGGCGCAGCTGCCGCCAATGAAGTATCAACGAACTTCGGTAGCTACTCAACACTCACTGAGTCTGGACTCCGCATCATCAGCCTAAACACCAACTTCTGGTACAAGCAGAACTTTTGGCTTTACGAAAATACCATCGAACACGACCCATCCGGTATGCTCTCGTGGCTAGCAGCTCAGCTCGAAGCAGCCGAAGCAGCCGGTGAAAGGGTCTGGCTTCTTGGCCACATGCCCATGGGCGCCAGCGACGCATTCCACGATCAGTCATACTACTTCGACACAATCATCCAACGCTACGATGCTACTATCGCTGCCATATTCTACGGCCACACTCACAAAGATGAGTTCGAGATATCATATAGCGACTACACAAAGCAGTCGGCCTCCACAGCAACCATGATGTCATACATTGCTCCAGCCCTGACACCAACCTCAGGAAACCCCACTTTCCGCGTCTACGATGTCGATCCAGTCACGTATGGTGTCCTCGATATGCACGTCTACTATGCGAACCTAAGTGCCCCTTCCTATCAGACGTCCGGCCCAACTTGGGAACTCTTATACTCCGTCAAGGACACCTACGGCACCCAACTCGGGTACACTGACCCATCTGCTGAATTAACTCCAGCATTCTGGCACAATCTCACCGTCCTATTTGAGAACAATGATGGCGTGTTCCAGGAGTACGTTTCCCTAAAGAACCGGAAAGCTGGCAATGATGCTTGCACAGACAATTGCAAGACGAATGAGATTTGTCAGCTCCGTGCTGCGCAGTCGCAGTATAACTGCGGGACTGTCTCTCCGGGCATCAATTTCAAGAGGGACGTCGTAACTGGTAGTGTAACTGCTGGTGAATGTGATGGATCTCAGGCTGTGCCTATATTGACGGAACTTCTTGGCCCCGAAGGCATCGCGAACCTTAGGGCTGTACTGGTGGACGTTCTTGGAGAGGCGTTCCTCAACACTCAGGTATCTTTGAACTCAACAACAGGCTGATCAGTCGCTATGATGTACGAGCTTTTGCACAGGTGGTTCTAGCAACGTGTAAGAGCCATAATAGTCGCTTTTTAACTCGGCTTCTAATAGCTTAACAATAGCTATAGGGAGTACCTTCGTGTAAATAGTTACCGCCTGCCTCTTATTAGGAAGAGGCGCCATTTACTGCTCTGTCTAGCGCCTGTTTTAACCCTAGACTTCAGCTTCTATTATTCTTCTAATCATGCTTAATTCTATTATCAAGACAAAGAGGGCTCTAAACAAAGAGGGCTCTAAACCTCCTCTAGAGGCAGCTTTTAGCCGTAATACATTGCCGCTAACGTAGAAGATCTATACATATCTACTATCTCTCGTGTCGTGTCTCTTATCTTTAACCACGCCTGTGGCATCACCAACTCTCAATCTTCCTCGTCTTACTTATGATACTACTGCTATAACAGTATCCCTTCTTTTAACCCTGCATCAGCCTGCATACACTCTCACTAGGCTGTGCTGTCCACTCCTGGCTGCTGCTGCAGCTACCTCATTGCCACCAATTAAATTATCTGAATGAATACTGCTCCTATAACTATGGATACTATATTGCTTTGTGACTTGCTTGTTGATTACCCTAAACCTGCCACGGACGCCGGTTTTGTCAACCTCAAGCACGAAATTACCCCGTTGGCCCATGGGCAAAGGACAGTCTTTTGAAAGAAATTGGCAACTACTGTCTTGCGGCTATTTATGACGGCCTGCATGCGAGCACCATCGGACCCTTCACCAGGGGTCTAGGTTGGACCTCTGCGGAGGTTGGACTTTTTCTTGTCCAAGTACGGAAGGATTACTAGACCCTTCTGTTCACTCCTATGTTTACTTTCACTCTCTTTCAGGTCAAAAGCCAAATATATTTGGAGTACATCTAGATTAATAGAACACATGGATCCATTAGAGTTGACTGCAGAAATGCTCTGGGGACATATACAACAAGGAACGGAGCAATCAAAGCTGATGACTAAATACTCCGTGACAATTACGTTGCTATAGTGAAGATGTCGCAAAAACGACGCCATTAATTACAGGCAGTAATTAACGGCTAATATGTCCTATGACACATCTCCTCAGATTTGTACTATTCCTAGGGCAGATCTGTAACTCTTACTAATGTCAGATCTTTTAATTAGGTACATCTCGCCAAAGTCTAGGTAGTTCAGTCTAACCTATGACGTAGAAAACGTAAGTAGGGTGTTAATAGGAATTAAAACTATAAGGTCTATAACGCTTAGACGTAATACTATGCTTATACTATTAAGGTATAACAGCGGTAGATGTCCTAGGCTTATAACTGTTGTAAAAACGACGCTGTTAATTATAGGTAGTAATAAATGCCTAATATGTCCTGTGACAGAAGACCCTAACTGTATCCAGAAGACAATAAAAAAAGTGGCTTTATACTTATTCTTCAGTCAAGGCCAGAGATAGCTTCCATCATTTGCTGGATTATGTCTTAGTCAGGGATCACTGTGTCAGCGTCGCCCGTTCAAGATTGGCAGCAATGTCAAACATCCGCCCCGAGAAATATTCACATTACCAATATCAATGTCATTTTGAATGTAAAGTCAATCTTACCACATACCCATATCTTCCATGACTTGGCTCTAATGATGCCGTATGGTAAGTCCAGACTTACTGCTGTGATTTCCAATGACCGGGATTGGAAAATGATGATCGGAATCGGTCGGGAACTCACTTCCCACTCACCTGCGACACGGCCACCTCACCAACGAAGATACAGTCTGCGTCAATTGCATCTAGTGGTATTGTTGTCGTATACGACGCATCATGCGTTGCGTAGGTCAGGTCGAGAGTATCAATGGCGGCAATGATCATTGCTATACGGTGCCGAAGGAATCACTCAAGCAAGCGCAGCGAAGTAAAATGAAGATCATCAGGGCCGTCATTCTCCCGGCGCTGATTCGGCTCGTTGCGTCTTCCAGTTACGCAGTGGGCTCAAGATTCAGCATCCGGGCTCTATCCAGAATGTCTTTCTTGCGAAAGGCCGGCTTGTGATAGAGACTTTGCCGAATCTATCCCTATGGCGGCGCTCGATGGCACTGCCACCACCAACACTGAATCTGCTTGCAATTTTTGGGCGACTGTCATTTTGGTTTTATCTTGTTTCATGTCTCTCCTTGAATAATATTCAGTGTGGCATCCCCATGCCGGCGTTGTCTCTTTCGGTATGCTTCGTTGTCGCTGGATGGCGTCATTAGGCAACTACTATCCAGTTGGATAACCCAGAAGCCTGTTGAAGTTTAACAGACTGTGATTTTACTACTTACTGCATTACACTTTGTGCCTGATGCAGTAACCGACCTCCCCTTGATTTGGGTGTTATACCTCTGCTTTGCTCTGATCTACGGATTTGGCTTTTGCATGGCTATTTGGTTGCAACCTGATAGTCCTTGTGACAGCTATGATTTTAATCTATTGGCAATAAGAAATCCTGTAGATGTGAACAGCAAACCAGTGGATTAGAGGCGTGTCACTGGGTTCCTTCTACTCTCGATATTAGGGCGGTTGTTGTGAGCGCCGCCGATGCTTTCGCTAGCTTGGTGTGATGGCGTACGACAGCCTGTTCACTGTCTTCAGTCTCCCGAAGCCGCTGTTGACCTGGATTGTTCCGCTAGAAATGCTATATCTAGTCTTCGAGGTGTTAGCCGGCGGTAGATACAATTTTCATTTCCTGTCGACGCAATCCAGACACACCTCATCACCAGCAGGCGAGGTATCGAGAACCCCGAACTGCGCAAACCCCAGCTATCCCAGCCACGCAATCGCGGTATACATTCGAGACCCGCTTTATCTCAAACAAGCTGGGTCTTCATGACATAGCGAAGCCGTCTAGCTATTTAGTATTGGAGTCTTTGGAGACGAGAGCGAGCTACAGAACGAGAGTTCCATTGCCGAACGAAACCCTTGGGGGTTTGAACTGGATATATATGCAAAAGATATTCGTACGGAAGAACCAAACTATATTAGAAGCTACCTCTGAGCGGGGGAACGTGCGTATCTCTGGAGCCATGTTACTGGGCTTTACCTTGGCGTCCTGGGACACAGATCCATCGTTGATGAAGAAACTGCTCTCGGGCCAGCAGAAGTCAGCCTTGAAGTAGCGCAAATCATATGCTCCGTTGGCCTCGGAGATATTGACTTTGACTATGAGCATATCAGGGGCACAATAGGAGGAGTTTAGACACAACTTGATTAATTAAGTAAGGACCTTGATACGCCGGGGCCTTCGCCTCTACATTTTCAACCTGGCTTCAACCCCTTATAAAGTTTCAGACCGTATCCTGACTAGGATGGTGAGCAAGCTAACGATACTGTGAGCTTGAAGCTTAACAGACTAATGGAAGCCACTAGTACACATAGGGTAGCACAGAACGCCTCAAATTTCCACATTATGGAGAGTATGTGCAATTGGCTATTGTGCTGTTTGTATTGACGATTGTTAGTGTATCATTATCTTCTAGTTACAGAAAGACCAATACATTTTTACGTGAAAGTCCATTTGTTCTCATATCTTGGATAAACAGAGCCAACCATAACTGTCTTCATAGGAAAACCGCTTGAATACCTACGTGTGAAACTGTTTGGCCTGAGCCGTAAAAATACGGTTGATTGTGCTAAAATTTGATCCCTGTGCGCAGCTTTCGCATTCGTTTCCTTCGTCCCTCAGCCGGCGCCCGAGTCACGTTAACTCTCCGTCTCACCTCCACTTATCCGTGACACTCCCTTCCCCTAAAGCTGTTCAAAGAGTGTAAGGGTTGTACGCAGTGCCATCCTCTTGTGCTTTTGCCCATAACTTCTTGTTCGACCTGATCAGACAAAATTTCAGAAGTAGACAGAATGCAACACCTATGGCTGCAAAACCCATCATGAGCAAAAATGCCATTAGATACCTGGGCTCGTCTCTGTCGGGAAAAAAGTAAGGGGCAATGACATTGCCGATCTGCCCCAGCACGTTGATTACAGGTATAGCCGTCGCGCGTTTCTCTGGGGTACGGCCCAAAGTCCCAACTAACCAGGTGTTGATTAGAGGATTGGCGGCAAACATACCACCGATGTACAAGAATGACGCAGCGTAACGGGCTGGAACATTGCCTGTCGCTGTGCAGACGATGTACCCCAGTATGGCAGCGATGACAGGTCCGATCATGTGATAGCCTCGCTCTTTGAAGTGATCCGAGCTGCGGGCGTTGCATAACGATGCGACTGCGGCAAAGACATAAGGAGGTGCCGTCAGAAGGAGTGTCGTGGTCCTCGACTCAAAGCCGAATCCGCGGACAATCGATGGGAAAAAGTTGAGAAATCCGTAGGCGGCAGAGATAGAGATATTGATAGCGACAAAAATCCAAGTTTTGTAGTCCATGCAGGTAAGCTTTAGTCCATACCAGATGCTAGTGCTATTGGCTTGGGGCAGTGAGACCCTATCGGCTTGAATACGTGCAACGGCGAGAAGGCGCATATCCTCAGTTAGTGACCATCTCGCTGAACCTGTCTTGGAGTGAGGATAGTCAGGAAGTAGCACCGTGGCGACTAGAGCGCAGCAAGATCCTGCTATGGCCAAGACGATGAAAAGCCACTGCCAGCCGGCCATGCCTTGGGACCCTTCAAGACCTTCATACACGCCTGTGGCAATGAGGCCGGAGCTAGCCATGGCGAGAACTAGGCCCGTGTAAAGGATAGCGGTTCTCAGAGCAATTTCCTTTCTCGTATACCAGCAAGACATGAGGTAAATTGCCTGTTTCATCAACTCAGCTATATTCACTAATATTGTTGAAAAGACGCTTACACCTGGAAGAAGAGGGGCTTCACACAGTCCGAGTATAACTCTGCAGGCCACCAGTCCGTTGTAATTTCTTACGCCAGCCATTGACGCAGAGACGCCTGACCAGACTATGGCACAGCATGGGAGATAGAGACTGGGCCGAACGTAAGGCAATATCATGTTGGATGGGATTTGTGCAGCGATGTAACTAAGTACAATACCGGTCAGCGATCACAGTTGTTCACTCTACTGATATTTCATTGGATTGGAATTCAAAACATACCCAGGAACCAAAACTGCAACTGCCGTGGCGAATTGAGTGTCGGTAAGCCCCAAGTCAGCTTCAAAGCTGCTGAGGCGTGCTTGACTGAAAGTGGTGTAAGTCGCTCAGCTTTCACTACGAAAAATGCAACGAGAGAAAGAAGCTCACGAGATGGATGCTCTGTCCAGGTAGTTGAATAAATATAGAACCCATAGCATGGGCATCAATGTCATGTCAAGCCGCTTGACGAGTTTCTTCTCAAGGTCTTGCCAGTTCTCAAGCCCGAGCGCCTCAATAGGCGCCGTAACTCTCGGTAAGTGCTGTGCAGTCTTCTCCTCGTCAGATGCCTGTTCCGTATGCTCTAGGATAGCTTCAGCATTTTTATCGCGAAGAGGTTCGGTCTTTGAACTGTCTCTAGTGCAAATTCCTGCGTCTGTGGGCTCGACGCTTCTGCGGTTGATGGTATTCATCTGCGCAAGTTGACGGTATAGCGAGCCAAAGATATTCCCCGCGCTTTTAATTAGATTGGGAGGTTGTAGATAACCGAGGATTGAAAGTAATGGTTTGTAAATTTGATGTCTTCACCAACGTGGCTCGAAGCATTAGGCCTTTATACTTTTATTCATTCCTTAGCATCTTCCCGGGAGACCGGCTTCCTTAACCACTTCACTCCCCTTCCCTCGTGAATGCAGTTGGTCAAGACACTAAAATCACACAAGTGGAGCACCCCACATAGAACCCCGCGATTCAACACACACTCTTGGTTCTTCTCGGCTTCTGGGGTCATACTTTATTGTGAGGCGTCAAAGGGCTCATTTCATACTACGACGTATGGCTTACTAGACGCTTAGAGCAGACGTACCCACAGTGGCCGAGACTTCCAAGAGCGAGATGACGTGCTCTTTCTCCACCATGTTTCTTAGTAATGGCTCTACATTCTACCTATCCGCGGGTATTTATCAACTAACCGCCCTCTAGCCATCCGTCTTAGCCATAACCCACCCGTCTTGGACAGAATCCCTCCGTCTTGGCCAGTCTTGCAGGGTAAATTTTGTCTATGGATCCAGTAAATAGCTTCATTTGAACCAAACAGATTGGGGGACATCAGCTGATAATTTTTCAACCCTGTGCAAGAATTTATCTAAAATCTCTTGGTACAATTCTGTCCCATGATCCATACATCGTCTTCTGGATGTGTCATGTCGTAGCATGGCGGAACCGATTTCACGTCTTCGACCACCGTGAGCAGGATAGCTCGGTTTTCATTGGAGGCTTTCTGAACCAAATTATACGCATACATCAATCACTGGTATTCTGAGATTAGTACGTTGACTCTGGATGATACTGATACCTTCGCTTGCTGCAGTTGACACAGCCTGGGAAAATTCGGGAACCAGCTAACGTTCTATGTTTCTCGGCATTAGCCGAGGTAATGAACCACTCGCATTTCGATAAATGTACGGAGTAGCCTAACCCATTGAGTGCCTCCAGGCGACCCCATTTCTGCCAAGGGCGGGGTAGAGCCAATGCATTTATAGCGTCAAGTCCGACAATCCAATGGTTTTACAGGACTTCTAGCTCCGTGGCTTTTTACTTATGCCATAAGTACTTGCAATTTCCGTCTTTACAAAAAGGTACATTATAATCTAAGTAGTCCAATTAGATCTTCTATTACTATGCCTGTATTACTGAAACCTCACTAAGAGGCTACTCTAGTATGTAGTTGTCTAGATAGATAATAGGAACCTCTACTTAGATAGTGCTGTAAATAGGTATCTGAATTAGCAGATGTTATGATCTTGGTGAGGATGTTGGTGGCCGTGCTGAAGAAAATAACATTCTCTAATAATGTAGGTATTGTCATGTTCGGAGTATTTCCGAAAGTGAGGGGTAAAAGTGGTCTGGATCCACCAAGGGTGAGTTGACTTGGCATCCAATAGGATACCTAGATAGATAATCTGTTGTTCGCAGTCTCCTCGTACAGAGATTCTAGGTACTCAGTCAATTCAGAAATCTACAGTGTTGAGGTGTACCAGGAATTTCTGTCGCGGGCCTTTTTCCCAACATAGCAATGGTGATGAATGCCTTTTGTGGTATTCCTGCTTGTCCAACCATGTTCTAGCAGACCTTCCCTACGGGGTGGGGCTGTATACGTATGTTTGATATGTCTGTGTTGCCGAGGCAAAACCCCCGCAAAGCAGAGCACTTTATCCTCTTTTCATCCCTCACCCAATCCACTTATTTCAGGGCATTACCGACCAACTGATCACAGAAGACGTTGCTGCCTTGCAGATTTTCAACACAACTAATTGTTGAAGCTTAGCCCTCGAACTTGTCATTTTTCGTCACTTTTTTGGTCCGCTGCGTCTTCTAGCCGGAAAACATGGAGATCGTATGGCAATCAACCGGAACAACAGGGAAAAAACGCTCCTCGCAAGATATGTATTACCCATTCATGATGTATCATTTCTGATTATAACCGGCTAACATGAATATTCCTCTTACCCTGCAATAGTTGCCGCGCACGTAAGAAGCGCTGTTATCATATTGCAGCAGTTGAAAGACCATACCCAGCTAACAGGCCGCCACCTGAGGTCGGCTCAGGGATGGGCACCCGCAATCCTAGCCCAAGTCCCAGTCGCGTCAGTTTATATAATCCCGAATCCGTACTGGCAGATTTATCGACACATCCTGCAACAGCAGTCAACATAATTCGACCTGGATTATGTCAAATTCACCCTCACCGCAGAAGAAACCATATGCGACCAGCCGTAAACGGGTCTGCCGAAGAGAACGCACAGCGCCAGTTGCATTGGTACACTAGACACAGGCGTAGAACTGCTCCTCTCAGACTATCTGAACATTATAGACGCTATCTTGAAGACGAAGGTGCTTTTCTTCACCTACCTAGGTCAACAGCGGACATGCTACTGCCTATCTATAATACGTTTTTGGACGACCTGATCCCTGTTATTAACGGTGGGAGTATGTTTCGGAGCTACAGTAACGGAAATGCCTCTGTTTACTTGGTGCGGGCAGTATGCTTAGTGGCGTGCAAAATCAAGCAAGCTACACCCTTTCTACGACTACGTGAGAACGGGTTAATCTTGGGCCAAACAGACTTCGCATCAAAGCTGCTTGCTGGTCTCGACGCGGCGATGAAGGCGGATCTTGAACCCGACCGAGTGACCAAGATCCAAATCTTGGCGTTGATGCATTTACACAACGATGGGCTTGGAGGAGTGGACCGTTCCTCAAGCTATTTATCTCAAGCCATATGTGAAGCTTGGTCAATCTCGCTTCACGTAAATGTCCCATTCAACGCTGACCAAGAGCAATGCGACCTACTGTGGTGGGTGTTGAGGAATTTCGACCGACTCAATAAACCGGTCATGGGTGCTGCTCCTTTCATCATTGACGATACCGATATCGGGATTAGCCGCACCATCCCCCGGCAAGAGAATTACAGATCACAGCTTATGGCAATTTCTCTACGGCTAGGAGATTTGATGATGAAGTCGACTCGGGTCTACAAAGCAAGCTCTAAAGCCACTGCCGATGACAGCGATGATTTTCCGACTTTAGCAGAACTGACAGCGGATATATCTCTAGATCGGTTTGAAAAGTCACACAGATGTATGTTTTCTATTGAATTTGTACGAAAAGTAATGCTAAAACAACCAGCTTACCTCCACATATGGTATCATGTTGCCGCAATGCTTTCGTGTCGATATAGTGGACCGGGAAGCATCCAGTACATGCGACGTCTGGCATCCGCGGATTGTGTACTCGGAATCATCACACAAGAAACGCCCGATGGTCTACCGCCGCTCCCACTGGTGCCTTATGCAATGTCAATGTCTACTACGGTCATCTACCGGGCTTTACGAGACGGTGAGCGTTTGCTGGAACTAGCGTATAATGACCTTGAGGCTTGTTCCAAAAACCTAGAGGCTCTCAGTCTGGTATGGACTAGTGCAAAAGGCGTTGCAAAACTCGTTAAAAGACTACGTCGGTTCACAGGCCCAGACTTGTTCTATAAGCGCTCGCTCGATGATACCGACTGTACTTGCAGAAACCCAGAACCAGAATCAGAGGATCAGGTTCCCGGCGACAGTTGCAATGGTGTAGCTAATTTACGTCAAGAGGTGGAATCCGACGGTTTTCAACACCCAAATCATTCTCTTTCCAGCCCGGTTCGGGCTCGAGATGGTTTAGGAGAAGATCCAGTTGAAATCCCGGCTGTGCAAACTCAATATAACGCGACTTGGGTCGGAACTGAATTATTTTACACGGATATCGATCGGGCATTTTACGACTTCTTCGATTACGGAATGCCTAGCATATTTCGCGATTCAGCTACACTAGAAGTTCTACATGTAGACGATGACCAGAGCGTCTCGCCTTTCCAGCAGTAGTTTCAGCTACTTATTTAGGTACATGTCACAGAGTGACTTAACAGGTGGGAAACCCGGTTTGGGTATGTAGGTGTAAGGCTGTCTCGGCTGGAATCTTTAATTAATACGTATCCCACGTGGTGAGCCACTCCGGAGGGCCGAAGTAGTATCACGCAATGCTACGCATGACGCAATGCAAATGGGGGTGTTGCACCGGTATACAAAATGGTAGACTTGCTATGTTGTAATTAATGAGAGTTTATGCCAAAATCGCAACTAGGGCATTGATTAGTTATATAGTTCGGCATGCAATTCGTCCATGAGTTTCGCGTCAGTTAACGGCAGCGGTAGGCTCACCAAGTCACATTGTCGACCTTTCATAGTTAGTTATATTTCCATCTGGACATAAAATATAATTTACTTTGTTGGAACCCCCATTTTATTCTAGCCCAATTGCGCTTCTTGATTTATCCGTTCTGTTAGTTTCCTGGGTTGGAGATATTAGACGACCTATTGGTACTTTTGTTGGAGTAGTTCAGTAGCAATGACTTTGCTATACGCATGTTCCGCAGCGCATACTTCCATTGGTGTTGTCAATGACTGATTCCAAAAGTCTTCCATCGTTGCTTCAGTGGCACCTCGGTATCTTACTATCGAGTTGTCCTCTGCATTGTCCTCTAATGTACCAGGCGGTATTGTGAGTCTACAGTGAGCTAGCGGTTCGTGAGTGTTTACACCGTGGCACAAAGTTTGTCGCATCTAACCGCAAACTTAGCTTCACTGGCTCTATCCTGGGAAAGCGCTTGTTCTACACTTTTGATGTACCTGTCTTTGCGGTCACGGTATGATCTGCTCACTATTCAGTAATGATGTCACGAGATGTATAAGTGTTAGTGACTGCCCACGTAACTAACAGTATCGCTTTGTTATGTGACAGTCATGAGCCCAGTTTGCTCTGCATTGTGCCACAATGGTCAAACTGTAGCAACACGCTAAGGTCTCAGGCACCATGGGTTTAATGCCCATAAGGGTGTCCTAGACGTTGAAACGCCTGTGGTCCGTGGCCTGACCACCTCAATTTTGGCGAGATGTACCCCATCAGAAGGTTCACAAGACTCACAGTTAGTCTCACACTGCCTAGGCAAGGGTGTGAAACTGGGAGTGTGTCACGAGACTTATGAGCAGTAACTAACGGTATCGTTTTGTGGTAGCGAGTGTTTTACAGGTGCCCTTTTGGTATTATGCAGGCGTCTAATCGTATCCGGCAGCCACAGCCACCACCGCCACAACGTAGCATAGGTAATCTATCACACCTACCATAAGCCAGCCCAGGCCCTAACCATCCTAACTACTACTCCTATACATCTTCTATAGTAATGTATATATATAAAATGCGTAAGGTTAGTAGTTAGGATAGTTAGTGTCTAGGTTAGGATTTAGGTTAGGTTATGTTAGGTGTAAGTGACAGATCATGATATTTCTGCACAGACTAGCCGGGACTTAGAGGGCTGTCAATGTGTGTGCTGACATATCATGCTCCTCCATTGGGTTAGACACCCGCAGAATACGAAAAGTGCACCTGCAATGTACCCGCTACCAGTTTTGTTATGTGAAAAATGATCAATCGGTAACAGATACCTCAAGAAACTGGTAGCGGGTAAATTTACGGCCCCCTTTTGGTATTTTCACGGTTCTGTACTCCGTATCCGTAGCTCATTCATTACCGGTATGTCAGTCTCCACAAAATGTCGCCCACAACAACACTCTGAGTTGCCTAGCTAATCAGACCATTAGATTTACAGTAGTCCTGTATTAGTTGCTTTCTTTTAACAAAGATTTTTGCTACCTAGCAGTTGATAGGTGATTGCTAGCTTAGTTACATAATATTAAATTGCCTGCTGTCCTCAAAAGCCTTTCTTTATGTAGTATAATACCCCCTGTTATAATAGTATAGCTTTACGTAGAGCTAGCACTCTTTGAAGCTTGAGGCCTTATTGATGGGTATGGTGGGCGGACGGGTGTGGTGGTGGGCAGTGGCGGTAGTGGCGGGTGGGCCGTGAAAATACCAAAAGTGGGCACCCCAAGAAAACCCACCCGCCGTTGAGCATTTCTCAGCTGTTTGCGACGCTTGTCAACTGTGTCTTCTTTCTTACCTACGGTAAGTATACCAGGCTTAGCGTAGCTCTCTGTCTGTCTGTCATTTATCGTCTTAGCCGTGACTTTGACATACCTTCTGGATTGAAAATTCGAACAATTATCAGGGCTCATTGCAGCTAGGCATCAACTAATGCTGTTGGCTTCCCCCAAGTTTCTTCTTTTCTTTTCATGACATGAAAGGCTTCTTGCTAGAAGTCTCCTTTGCAGTCGCTATCAGAAAACAGACGAGTTTGCTAACTGCAAGGTAGACATAGGTTGAAGCCCTGGACCAGGTGAAGATGTGGCGCTAAATGACGATCACGCAGTCTTCTCTGTCGCGATGACATATCAAGATTTCCTCTTTTGCTTAGCTTAGGGCGAGTAGTGGAGAAGATCTACACTCCTTACAGGCCTTCCCAGCTCCGTCAATGTGGAATCATCCAAATGTAACCTTCAACGGCAAGCCCTGCAACTGTCCGCAATTCAGCGCCTGTAATCAATCATCCCAATGCGGTAATTTTGATTACAACAATCTACGTGACCTCTGAGGCACAGGGTTGAAATGGTCCGTCGAGTATCAATATTTTCGACCTGTGGAAAATATATTTAGTCATTCTTGATTACCCTGCTGAAATGATGTAAAGTTTCTTTCTACATCCACCTGTCTTTTTCCATTCAAACACCAATCATTGTTTCTTTCTTTCCGACAAAGAGTAACTATTCAGCCTCTTATTCTCCCTCATTGCAACAGTTCATCTCTTCAAATTTCCAACGCATCTTTCCTAATTGTATACGACCATCCAACAATGCGTTTCTTCACAGTAGTTTTAGTCTTGGCATCATGGTCCACCCCCATCACGGCGAGACCACCCAGGTGTAGGGGCACAATGAAAGTCGGGAAGACGATTTATACCATCACCAACGAAGTAGAAAACTCTGTGGTTGCACTGCCAATTTCTCGTACCGGACTTTTGAATTCAGGAAACTCAGTCAAAACTGGTGGTGCTGGCTCGAATTTCTTTGACAGCGCAACCAACGGACCAGCAGCACCGGATGCTCTGGCGTCTCAGTCAGCTCTAACTATTGCGGGCAATGTAAGCACTCCAATCATGTTGTTTCATATTAGACACTTTCATCTAACGAACATCCAAATTTCAGAGCCTATTCGCGGTCAATGCTGGATCCAACACTCTAAGCATGTTTGCAATCAACCAGTCCGATCCGACCAGACTCACAATGGTTGGCCAACCTGTTGCAATTCCAGCGCAGTTTCCCAATACGGTTGCTGCATCGGACAAGAACAAAATTGTCTGCGTAGGATCTTCTGGTGCTGTTTCAGGCATTTCCTGTGCTGGCTTTTCTGAAACTGGCGTGGGTAGCATGGACATACTCCGTCCCGTCGAGTTGAACCAGACCACTCCACCAGCGGGGCCAACTAACACAATTTCCCACGCATTTTTCTCTAACGATGAGAACACACTGTTTGCAACCGTAAAGGGAGATCCGGCTAAGAACAACACTGGGTTTCTCGCCGCCTACCGGGTTCAATTCAATGAAGGCTGCAAATCTGTCAGTCATTATGGTGTGCGCTCGTCGCCCAATGGTACTGCGGTGCTTTTCGGCTCGTCCACTATCCCTAATAGCAACGACTTGTTCGTCACGGATGCTTCATTCGGCGGTGTCATACTATCACTCGATGCCCAGAGCAAAGCTGCTGTCAAGGGGTCGGCGGCTGTGGATGGCCAAAAAGCAACTTGCTGGGCTACCGTTTCCCCAGCGACGAACACCGCATTCGTCACAGATGTCGCATCGAACAGACTAGTGGAGATGTCGTTGAAGAATGCGAGCGTAATGAGCGTTATAGATCTCAGCGCAAATGGAGACCCTGGATTAACTGATCTGAAGGCTGCTGGGAGGTTTGTCTACGCACTCAGCCCTGGCAATGGCACGACACAGGCAGCCATAACAGTAGTTGATGCAGTTGGAAAAAAGCAAGTTCAGCGTTTTGAGCTTCAACAGTTCGGAGTGGGGAAGAATGCTCAAGGAATGGCCGTGTTGCTATAGGCAGCATCTCTAATGCCAGGGCGATGTAGTAGAGCTGCATTTATTCAAGCTCTAATACCAAGTGTTGCAACCTAGCATGTATATAATATATAAACAGTTGATCTATTTTGTTTTAAATTCATGAGATAGAGAGAATTGAGTTGTGGCCTCCATCTCAATGACCCTCAAATTGAGACATCAGATAAAAAACGGTTCTTTCTCGTCTAGTAATGTATAGACGAATTACTTCCTGCTAAATCCATATACTTCCTCCAAGCAACTACGGGTTCCCATCAGGATTAAGTCTCAACAGGGTATTGCCCATTCTCTTGAGGACTTGAAAGAATTACAGATACAAAATCGGCATGCCAAACCATGTTGCACCAAGAGACTTGTCTCCAATACCATTGCAATCTCGAGTTTGGTTCGAGCCAAGACGCGTTAGATGTTGGAACTTTATTCGATTAACTCGTAAAGAGAAGTTCCCTCGGAACAAGACTTTTCAGTCTAGGATTTTCAATCATGTACATCGCATTAAATGGGTCACAACACACAAAGATGTCTGTTTTCCCAGTATTACGGTAGTGAAACTCTTTAGGGTTTATTGTGACTCATGATGTTCCGGTTGCCACCAATACGGGTATATTAACAACCAAAAAATACCTCTTAGACACGCAAACGTAGAACCACAATCCACCGGGAAGCCTAGCTTTCATCAGAAACTAAAGACGCTTGTATTGGTCACAAGAAGCCATAAACAGATTCTCAGACCATTTTAGTGTCATAAAGTGCTTCACATACTGCGAGCGACCCAGGTGCCAAAACTATAAACCACACAGGCAAAGACATGGCATGGCGGTTTATAACACAATACGGAAATAAGAGAAAACAAGTTGGGTGTGCCTCCCTACAAAAAATATATACTGCATCTGTATTTCTTAAAATACAATATATGTTGTACCCATAGATCTTTCTGCAACTACTAAGAGGGAGGCTAGAAGATTATGTAGGTATAGAGAATGCGAGAACATGCTTCTTGTTAATACCTGTTGGGCCAGGGCCACAAAACCAAACAATACCCAGATATTCTACTAAAACGCAAGCCTAAGCTTAAGGTCTATCTATACAAGTCACCTATACAAGCAAAAACGACGCATAACATTAATGTGAAAGGTGGTTTGGAAATAGAAGGCAAAAGAGCTATTGCAATAGTCCAACGCTATAATCAACAGGGTCTCGCCCGGCTCCTGTAGATTGTAACGTGGCCTACTTAATTCCCCCTTTCCTAGTGCTTTTACTACTTAACGAAGGGTTCTCTTGAGAATATAAAAGTCTTTGCACGGTGATGCGTCTAAGCCGTTAGTACACTTATCTTGGGATTAGTTAACCTTGAGAAAATTCAGTTTCATTTGGTCTTAATACCTATATAAGCTCCTAGCTTGGTGCACTACCTTTATATTCGGGTAAATTTTCCCATTTAATGAAATATATCTCGCTCTAAAGTAGCTTTCTCGCGGTTCTTAAGCAAAGTGGTGAATTAGGTGCTTGGTTCAAGACCATATTAATATAAACGTATTCTTATAACTAAATCAAATGTAGACCGCATGTTATGCACGTGCAAAGTTGGACTGCATTCATGTCACGGACTGAGCACCAAAGAAAAGCATTCATATGTTCCATCCCTAATCGATAATTGCCACCATCATAACTAGGTAATCATCATTAACACATATGGCCATTTGCCACCAATATCATCATCCTCCTTCAAGGATCTAGCTCAAGAATGTAGCCATAACAAGGTATACAGAAACAACATGACCCACCCTTTTCAAATCAATTCTCTAATTCGCGTAGTTTTGCCAAATCGCGATCATCATGAGGATCCGCTGTTGTCCGCGCAAGAAAACGCGCCTCCAATCAGTCCGTTGGCGTAGGCGTCAATGATATTTTGGACAACACCGTAGGTTCCTCCGATTGTCAAGAAGACTGCCAAGAAGATCATAAGCCAATTTAACCAGTACACCACCACCTCCCACCAAGTTCCCTGGCGGTAGTGTTGATGGTCAAAAACCCAGAGGTAGCCTGGGAGACCAAGGGCCAGAGGTGCGAACGTCAAGCTTCCTGCCAGAGCAAGCAAGTAGTTGAATATGGGAATGCCGGATGCTAGGAGGTATGATACAGCTGACATGGCGAAAGTGCATCCAATCCACACGGACCAGTGGACAACCGAGTTCTTCTGCAGGTGAACTGAGTTGCGCAGAAGTCGAACAAAGAGATACTTGGCGGCAACGTGAATGTATAGACATGCGCTGACCATCAGACCGGTCAGGCCAATGCCATAAGACACTTTCTTGACAACGTCACCAGCGCTCCCTAGAGAAGGGGACGCCACCCATTGGCCGCACCAACGGTATACTACGAGAGAGAAAGTCAAGTAAGAAGCTGTGACAACTCCCATGCAAAGATACACAGCCTTGTTGTAGTCTCTTGGCTTCTTCATCTCCGAAATAACGGGAAGAAACGCAGAAGTGCCTGCGCCGGAACAGAAGATAGTAGCGACGGACGTGATGCCGGTGACAAAGTTAGGGTTGCCAATGGCGTGGTATCCGAGATCGAAGTCACCAGTCTGTGGAGCAGCGGCAGGTCTGCCCACCTGCGTGACGGCAACTCTGTGAGATTGTTAGCAAATGGATTGTTTACATAGACCAATCAGCAGATGAAACCTACACAACAATGAAGACGGCAATGTATACAGACAAGAACCCAGCCCACGTCAACCACGCGATTTTCTCAAACTTGCGAATGCTGGCAAGAATAAAAACTGCAGCTGTTGCAACCAACATGAAATAGTTGGTGCAAATAGCGTGGTTCGAAAGGGCGTTGAAGGCAACCGATGTACCAAAGATTCCGGACGCGCCAACAATCGCATACGTGACAAGAAATAAGACTCCAACAATTTCTTTAAGCCAGACACCTCCAACTACTTGAGCCATATCGGCAATGGAATGGCAACCGGCATGAGTGTTGCGGAAGTTTCCTTGGATGATGGCACAGTATGTGTTCAGAAATTGCCACCCCAAGACATTGATGGCACCTGGGAGTGCGCCGAGGACATACATGGCGGAGGGAATCGTAAGGACGCCGGTAGCAAAAATGACTGCAACAAGTTAGACTCAAATTCGAGTTATCCTAAAGAAGAAACTGCCTTACCCTTGAGAAAGATGACCGAGGCTTGGATCCAGCCAACTGTCCGGAAGTCAACTGCTCCTTCACTACGCTTGAAGATCTCAAATGCATCCTCGGCGTTTTCGAGCTTGCCCGCGTCAATGCTTCCACTAGTGCGAGCCGGCGCCGGCGTAATGGCTTCGGCCTTTTCTGAATTGGTTTGAGACATATCGCTGATGTTTGGCTCAATGAGCCAATGTTCTTGTCGTTGCGGGAAGGCGTATTCGAGTTATCGCTGCACGGTTTCAAGACATCGCCACAATACCATTTATAGATCATAGAATGCTTGCCAGACTTGGAGCATTTACCAGAGGGAGCGAGAACTTAGGTGTTGCTTATCTCGTAGCGGCAAAATGTTTCTGACAAAAGATAGGCATCAACATGGCAGCTTCAGATGCAACTCCAAGGTTTGTGGGTCACCGTGCCAAGTCGGCAGTCAAAGTTGAACTTCCGTGTCCAGGGGTTGGACGCGAGTTTGCGGGGTTTAACTAGGCTAGCGCGATAAGGAGGTTGGGGTACAATATTGCTAAGGTGTTGGAGTACGCCTTCGAGACCTCGGTGCAGAGTCGGAGTCGTGATAGATCTACTACTCCAAGATCCACTTCTTGGCGAACCTGGGGCGATTTGTACGATAGGCACGGGATCAGGGTTACCGACGAATTTGGAGGTCTTGCATTATGAAATGCTACCCATGTAGTTGGTGAGGTGTTAATATTCAACTCGATACTTCGTGACGCAAGGCTGGGAATTTGGGTTGGGTTTTATTTTTATTCTATTATAGCGCTAAAGTGGATGCTTTTCCAGTGGTAGTGGTAGTGATGTGGATGAACGCCGGTACGCCAAAGGCGAATAGAAGACGTGGGTGATCGGAGAAGGTAGTTATGCCCTCCTACTATGTGAGTCCACTCCACTCAGGCAGGTGACTATATATCCGTGCTTCGACAGGAAGTCCACTTGGTTTACAATCGGACTGGGCCTATAACAAATGAGCAGGGGAAAAGCCATATAAATGTCATCACGTGAAATAGGATATAATCTACACAAGACCACGAGCTTTGATATCATAAATTCCTCGAGACAAGATGGCATCGAGTTCATGCCTATTTTCTATCATGGTGACTTCTTGAGAATAGCGCCTCGCTCTGCGGGCATAATGGCTCCCGGTGAAGGCGCTGTCCTTGCTTTGAAGTCGTCACATATCTGCTCCATTGTAACGAACTCAACACCCTCATGCTTCTTCATGTGCTCAATAAGTCTCTCATGCATCAAGAGGGCATGTGGACGGCCCGATACGTCTGGATGAATGGTCAATGGGAAGATAAACTCATCGTACTCGCGATAGAAGTAGTCAAAGTGATCTCTCCAAATGTCCTCCACATCTCTCGCATTGACGAAGCCGTGACTGTTGGGTGCGTCTTTGATGAACATCATGGGCGGAAGGTCGTCCAGATACCAGTTGGACGGAAGTTCTACTAGCCCGGTCTCTTGGCCCCTGACGAGCGGCTTCATCCATTCGCTAGGTTTCTTCTTGTAGTCGATCTTGGTCCATTCATCACCAGTCCGCAGGTAGTACGGCTGGCAGTCATGGTGACTCATACTGTGGTCATATTCGATACCGTAATCAAGCAGGAGTTGTGCACCCTCCTTGCTTGTTTCCCACCACGGAGCAACACTGCCTCTAGGAGGCTTGCCCACAAAGTCTGTAAGCATTCGATACGTCTTGTCAAGGATCTCCCTTTGCTGTTCAATCGTCATATCAGTTGGGTTTTCGTGCGAGTAGCCGTGGAGACCAATCTCATGGCCTGCATCTCGAACCGCGGCCATGTCTTCTGGAAACGTTTCAAGGCTGTGTCCGGGAATGAACCAAGTCGCTTTGATGTCATATTTGGCAAGCAGCTTGAGAACCCTTTGGACGCCAATGGTTCCCGCAAAGTAGCCTGGAAAAAGTTAGATTCACCTTCGAGTCACTATGCAGCACAAGGTCTTGGGGCTAGGTTCACCTCTGCTGATGTCGTTTGAGGAGTCTTCTCCTCCATACGATCCCAGCCAACCAGCGACCGCGTCCACATCGACGCCATAACTGACGAGCACGCGCTTCTTGCCCATGGTGTTTCAGGATCGTGTATCCGCCAGATTGCCGTTTTTGGTCGTATGAAGAAATGTCGGTTGTCTTCTGCTTTGTTTTTTAGGATTGTAATTTACGCGCGTTCGCAAGGGATGCGGGGTCTAAGGGATAGGAGACGACAGCAAAGCTGATTGGGAGTGACAAACGTGCTTTTATGAAGTCATAGGTCAATGAACCAGTGAGGGGTAAGTCTCTTCTTATCGAGTCGTTACCTAGTTTACCGAACATTACGATAGCGCAAGTCCTCTCATAAACTTTGACATTCAGTGGGGTAGCTCGGCCTATCCAACTCATTAAGGCGAACCCAGATACGGATATTATGGCAGCGTTTATTGGGGTCGTACACTGTGTCAATTAAAGTTTGTTGACAAGGAGGTTGTCCGGCATCCGATTAGCATTGGAGTTGTTGATAAGAGACGACGAAGTTGGAGAAGAAAGTTACCAGATATGCGCTAGCCGACCCCGCACCCAAGATAAGGATTCATCTCCAAGTCACATTGTCAGCCTGGAGTTTCAATATCACCTCAAGGGTGGCAGGTCTGACAGTTAATGATATGAGAACGATACCTTGATTCAAGCTCTACTCGTCAAAATCCGGTAGATCAATTTGATTATTGCATACCATCACCTGTGGTCGGTTCAACATTGACCCCCGACGACGAATATGACATGGGCAAACATTCCACGTAGAATGCGCGCAGCGCAAATCTCTGAGGTTAGTGTCCCCGATGTTCCTTTCTGTTTTCTTTGATACTAACTTCAACCCAGTATCACAAGCCATACGAGTTAGTTGAGAAAGATGTGCCAAGCATTCGTGAGAATGAACTTCTTATCAGAGTTCACGCGGCCGGATTCTGTCACTCAGATCTGCAGGTTCTACAGGGTCAGTTCGGATCACGCTTAGGCATGACCGCGTCCCATGAGCCTTCCGGTACCGTCGTCCTTGTTGGAAAGAATTGCAGTGATAATTGGAAAATTGGTGATCGAGTTGGGGCTCTTAATTTCAAGAACTCATGTGGCCAATGCAGCGGCTGCGGGTTGGCGAAGCGGAGATACAATCGACTGGATCCCCGCTTCTGCAACAGAAGAGAAACGGCGGGATTCCAACATGACGGAGCATTTGCAGAGTATCTCGCTATAGACCCCGAAACGACAGTTCACTTACCTTCGTCCTTGCCGTTCGACCAAGCAGCGCCACTGATGTGCGCTGGTGCGACAGTATGGGGCTCATTAGAAAAAGCCACAGCCGGGCTAGACTCTGGAGACACTGTAGGCATCATCGGCATTGGCGGTCTCGGCTTCCTCGCTTTACAATTTGCTAGCGCGATGGGCTTTCGTACAGTAGCAGTTGACAGTCGCCCGGCAGGGAGACAATTGGCTACTGAGATGAAAACCCAGGATTTGAAACCCTCAATAGTTGTCGACTCTGGCTCAAAAGATGCCACAGCTACGATCATGGAATTTACGGGAGGAGAGGGACTCGCTGCCGTTATAGCCTGCACAGACTCTCTGTCAGCCAATAATTGGGCTCTGACACTGCTTCGGATTGGAGGTGTAATGGGTGTTCTAGGTCTGCCAGCAGAAAACTGGAGGTTTGATTCAAGTGTGATCATCTTTCGGGAGCTCACCATTCGGGGAAGCTATGTGGCTAGTAGAGAGTCAACTGAAAGGATGATGGAGGTTGTAGAGAGGGCTAACATCCGATCCCATATCACCTTGGTGGCCTTCGATGAGATTCCTGGAATCCTCGCGGCGTATCAAAACAGTGATTTTAAGGGTAGACTTGTAGTTAAAGTAACAGATTGAAATGGGGATGCACTCAATATTGAGATAGCAGTGGTCATAATTCATAACATGGGGGGACCGTGGAATCTGAATAGAAAACTGTGAATGAGGAAGGCCGGCCTCAAACTGTTTGGCACATGAAAGGGGTGAGGACCAAGGTGCCGATGTAGATCGTGCGGACCAGCGGTTTCAACCCAATTGGATTTCGGCAATCTCGGCATATTCGATTATCTAGCAGTATGCTCTCCTCCCCTTTGATTTGTCTTCTTCTTTATTCCTCTCCAACAGTTACAATTTGTGCTAGAAGCCCAAAGTCGTATCGAACGCTGAATGAAGCATTGCGTTGCTCTTATCAAACTACCGCAACTGCGTGGGATTGGGGTCAACCAGAGTTCTCCAACTTGGATCCGTGTTCGCCCCTTGCTTACCCCATCGACCCCTCCAACAACAATCATGGTGGGGTCACCAAGGACGGCGGGGTCTGTCTGCTAATTACCACCATACCATCAATGGCGACTTCAATGTGTTTGTCAACGAGAGCCCGCCGGGCCACTAAGCGGGCTAATGTTTGTCGTAAAAGCTTTCCATAATTTCCTGCAGCCTGGAAGTGGACTCAATTCTCAAATCTTTATGAGGAACCTGTTGTCTAATACTTTTACCGCGACGAACAATCACAACACATTGGTAACCCAGAAGACGAGGAGGAGCCCCATTAACTCAGCATGTCCGTCTTCTTCAAGGACATTTCCACGTTAGTAGTCTGTCATGTCTTAATTGAAACCCACTAACTAATTTGATTTTCAATGGATTAGAGATAACCCTGTGCAAAAGGGAGACGTTGAAAAACTCCTCGAGCCACTTGGTCTTTCAATCAAACCGGAAGAGTCGGCAGACTACCAAAGGCTCCTTGCCGCAGTCCATGATTGCGCAACCCGTATCGATGAGTTACCTGATTACCAGCCGATTCCAAACACGGAACGATATCCCCGCGAAGAAATACGTCTTCCTACATCAGGGGAGCAAGATTTTGGTCATGCATGGGCCTATCGATTCCTGATCAGGGGCAACTCTCATACGGACTCTTCTTTGGTGCCTTTGAAAGGTAGAACTGTATGCTTGAAAGACTGTATTGCCGTTGCAAGCGTACCGCAGTTCTTCGGAAGCGATGCATTTCCCCCGTGGACACCTTCCACAGACGCAACGGTAGTGACACGAGTCCTGGACGCTGGGGCTGATATCCTGGGCACGGCGACGTGTGAACATTTCTGCAACTCGACTGCATCTTTCACTAGCGCCCAGGGAACCATCGAAAACCCGCATGGGCAAGGATATTCTGCTGGTGGCAGCACATCTGGCGGTGCGGCTCTGGTAGGCTCAGGAAAGATTGACATCGCCCTCGGAACAGACCAAGGGGGTAGTATCAGGGTTCCTGCAGCATTTTGTGGTTGCGTTGGGTTGAAGCCGACCCATGGACTAGTGCCGTTCACAGGTATCACAAGCGGCGATCCAATCGACGACCACGCCGGTCCCTTGTGCCGGACAGTCATGGAAGTTGCACAATGCCTGGATACTATTTCGGGATATGACGGTATTGACGACAAGTCTTTGGGAGCTGCCGCTCACGGCTGCTACGACTTTTGCGCTTCTCTTCAATCATCCTCTGGCCGTTTACAAGGGGTGAAGATTGGTCTCCTGAAGGAAGGCTTCAACCAGGAAATCATTGAGCCCAGAGTGAGAGACCACGTCATCGCAGCTGCTCGAAAGCTAGAGTCATTGGGAGCGACCATTGATGAGGTGTCTGTTCCTCTCCACCTAGAGGGGCCTTCAATATGGACAATTCAGCAACGTATCGCTGGCTCTTCTGGTATCTTGGGAAGGACTTCTGGACGAAGAGGCCTGGGTCTTACCGAGTTCGATAAGGCTCGGTTGCCCTGGTCTAACTCGAGCTTCCAGAAACTCTTCCCTTCAACCAAGAACACCGTCATCAACGGCTTATATCTTTCTGAAAAGTTTCCCAGCCTGTATAGTAAGACTGTCAACATCGGTCGACAGATCAGGGATGCCTATGAAAAGGTATTCGAAACGTACGATGTAATCATCATGCCAACAACACCCTTTGTTGCACCACGACATGGATCCCGCGAGTCGGTTCTGGGTTCTTTTGAGCCCACAATTGGCCTGACAACAAATACTGCCGTCTTCAATGTCACGGGACATCCTGCTATGTCTATACCTGTTGGCTTTCTTCCTGCAAAAGACGATGGGCAAGTTTTAATGCCTGTGGGTATGCAGGTGATTGGTGGACTATGGCAAGACAAGAAAGTGCTCAATGTTGGGTTTGCCTGGGAAACCAACTTTGACTGGAAAAGTATCAATGGTCACGGGAATATAGCTCAACCCCTCCCAGAATCTCTGAACACTGGAACACACCCGAAAGTTGATGGAAGGCCAATGCCTGAGGTAAATGGTACAACATCACCAAGCCTCAAGCGAGTGAAGGTTTCTGTTTAGGCCCTCTATCATAGGCAGCCCCGATAAGGACTCTATCAATTCCATTCCAGCACTTACAGTCCATAACGTAGTATACATAGCTTATTGGCGTATCAAAATCACATTCATTACCGTGATTGAGCGCCAACGACTTCTTCCACCCTGCTCAACGTTTCTGTCTGGTCTTTAATGTGGATCATATTTTTTACGTCTCTTGGTATGTAATCTTTCATTTTCCCTGTGGGTGATTCGACGTTGCTCGTAATGCTCGAAGAGCACTTCAAGTCAGTGTTGATTCGTGTATCGTGGTCTCCATGCCTCTCCTCCCCGTGCACGTGGATCCTGGCGACAGAAAATGAAAATGCCAGGCTGTTGTCTTGCGACTCCCACATTCTCTCATCGGACGCCTTCAACGTAACTTGTCTCGTCCTTAACCCAACAAATGTTACTTCGGAAACAGCTGCCTCCTCAAACTGTACACTGCGCATTGTGCGGAAGATTCAATAGTTGGCGATCTAGTTGTATAGTTTCCCATACGCGCCGAATGACCCGCAAAGGAAAGGAGTCCTGGCAAGATATATCACTCGCAAATGAGTTGCGAATATCGGACTTTTGCACCTGGGAAGATACTCCATTTGACCCGAGTACAACGGCTGGCACAATCCATAAAGTCAAGTGCGATAAGGCGGAATCGTCATGCAAGCGACATATCAGGACAGGTTGGAAATGTGAAGGATATAGGCAGATTTCATCTAGGTAAGAATCAGACAGCTTGTACAGCTCCATCAGGCTCTTCATGTAGTCAGGCGTGTTCGTGAGTTCCCAGCATTGCTGTACTTTCTTGACGTAGCAGGGCCACTTCTGTCAGAAGCCGTCGACCCCTGTTTCTGCACACACATGGTTGTGCAATTTAGTACCTTTGAGTCTGCTATCAGACACGCCTTTACAGCAATTAATAGTGTACACAAGTATGCTTAAGCTACGTTGGAATTAGGTACTTCGATACAGTACCAATACGACAACAAGCATCTTGCAATCTCGCCACTAACACGCAGCCACAATTTAAGGGTCACAGGAACTGACAACAAAAAGCCCTTAGTTTTGACATATCCAGCCGGTTAAGAGAGTTGTCTCTGTTTTTGGCGAAGGAACTACAGGTTTATCTAGCATAGAAGAGCTCGAGGGCCCTCTACCTGATAATTTTGAATGCTTTCAGACCCACAACTGATATTTGTCATCTTTTTTAACTGAATGGCAGAACTAAAACATGCTCACATCGGAGCACACAACGCAAGCAGCAAGTCAGCTCCTAAAGGGAAAAGGACCAAGAATTCAATATTGTCATACCTAAAACCTCCGTAGAACAGCTACGATCAAAAGGCTTATAGTCCACTAGTAAAAGCCCTTCAATGGCTTGCAAGCATCTCATCTACGGACTCTAATATAAGTGAGGCTGGTTATGAACGTTGACTTCCGAAATACTTTAAGCAGTTGCTCTTGTCAGAAACTGAGGTACCGGAGGTCTCACACTTGAATACTTCAAGACGACCACACTTCATCTTTGAAGCAGATTTCGGGGCTGTGCTCTTCTTTCTGTTGTTTGCCTGCCCTGCTGAAAACTCGTCTCGGTTTCCTAAAACCTACCCGTCTTGGATTTTACGAGGGAAGACATAGCGATCACGTATACATCTGAATGCCAAGGCTTGGACGCAAATCATCCAGGTAGAGCACGGCATCAACTTGGATGGACCTGGGCAACCTATCTCTTGGCCTTCCTACGTCTTTCCACCTGATGAACTGACGGTGACAGGCTTTTGGAAAGGACTGCCAGCACGCAAAGAACGTTCTCATATACGAAGAGGATATTTCGCGTTGGACCAAAAAGCTTCGAATATGCAAAGGTACGTGCGAGGACTATCTACAAGCAGCCGACAGGGTAGGTTGTAGCTCCTGAAAAAAACGAACCTGCATACCATATCGACGTGTTCAATTCACTGCTATGCAGTTTAGCCCCTCATAACGAAGTGTTTGTTATGGCTCGAGTCAGTTTAGTGATAAGCCGCAGCCAAGCTCACAGTTCATTGACTGGCCTTCTCCCCTACTAATTTCCCAGTGAAGATTTAATTAGTAATATGCAATAAAATAGTTCGGAGGTAGTAGAATGTTTACCCATGTTACAGCTAAGCTCAAAGTGCCTCTGCTATGTCTTTCAATTGTCCGCTGTAATTATCAAAACATTTTCAAGAAATACAGACACCCTCACTACCCCGAACCTTCGACTCTAATTGATAGTGTATCCGCCGTCAACCACCAATGCATGCCCTTGAATAAACGAGGATTGGCTGGAACATAGAAACAACACTGCGTTTGCCACTTCTTCGGGCGTTCCCATCCGCCTCATGGGTGCAATATCGATCGCGGGTCTCAGTCTATGAATCAACTCTTCGGATGCGGTTGTCATCGGCGTGGCAATTACGCCTGGACAAACACAATTAACCCTGACTCCATCTCGAGAATAATCTATGGCATCTGAGCGGGTCATGTTGATTACTGCAGCTTTAGAAGCGCAATATGGCGCTATAAACCCCCGCCATGTTAGTGGTTTGCCCTTAAAGCAGAAAGATGGTACCACCTACCAGCCGCTGGCCGCGCAACGACACCGAGTTGACTAGCAATGTTGACAATAGCTCCTCGCTGGCTCGGATGCTCCTCATGCGGCTTCTGGCTTAACATTTGGCGTAAAACAGCACGAGACACCAACCAGCTACCCTTATAGTTGACGTTTGTGACGAGGTCGAAAGCAGCCGTTGATGTTTCGTGTGACCGCAACGATTCCCCTAGAATCCCGGCGCAACTAATGGAGTAATCGATACGACCGAATCTTTTGCTAGCTTTTCCCACAAAAGTATTGACAAAGGCTTCGTCTGAGATATCCCCTTCTTGACTTATCACCTGGGCTTCGGGATCGATTTGAAGAATTGCTTCCCGTGTGTCTGATAGTGACTTTTTGTTCAGGTCGGTAATAGCAATTTTCGAACATCCGGATCGCGCGAAGCCTTTGGCAACAGCGGAACCAATGCCTGCACCAGTATGTCAGGTTCCGGCCTTGGAAGCGAGGGGGATCTTACCAGTTCCTCCAGCACCAGTAATGAGGGCAACTCCCGGAAACCTGTACATGTTGAATATGGCAGGGGACTCTTTCTTTGGATCACAATGTCATACATTCAAGAGTCTGTCAGCCGCGTCCAAATGGGAAGTAAATCGTAGCATCGGATACCGTCAACTTGAATCAAGTCCTACGTACGCCAGCTTCATTTTCTGCTACGCCCAAGTCGCTCTTGTATCCAACTGGTGGATACTGCGGGGAAGCAGACGACACGATATCGGTGTGGGACAGAGTAAGCATCCAATTGCCACTAGGGAGTAGCATCCATGACGCACCCAAATGCCAAGCACTAGATAAACTACTATGTAGATAAACTAGAGTAACAGGGTCGTATCGTGTCAAGGGTGCGTGGTTACGAGTCAGACTCCAAAAGATAGCGGGCGATCCACGGCAGTTGGAGGTTATCTGTGAACGAGAAACGACCCACACGAATGTCAAGTCTTCTCCAACATAAGCCAAGGATGCCCCAATCCACACTTCTCTCCAACTTCCCCCAGCCTTTCACACCTCCAAGATATCCCACAACGTGATAATAGCATGTTGTCTCACAACGGCACGAATATACACCCACAGCCGCAGCCGCCGCAACCGCCGCAACAGCTGCCGCGACCGCATTCGACCCCAGTCAAGAGAAGGAGGCGAACCGGTAACGGCCCTAGCGCGCGTGCATGCCCTCACTGCGGGCGTACTTTCAAGCGCACCGAGCACTTGGAGCGCCATGTTCGAACACGTCAGTCATCCCATCCATCCTCGTGTTCCTATCTCCAACTGTTGGAGTGAACGGAAAGTTCGCTCGAACTATTCCTGGCTGTCGCATTCTGGACGTATTCTAGCTCGTACCGTGACCTGATGTTTGGGGCAATGCCACGTGCCGTCATGCTAATCTGCTGGTCATTTGCCAGACACCAAGGAAAAGCCCTTTATATGTCGATGTGGGGCAGCCTTTGCTCGGCGAGACCTCTTGACCCGCCATCAGCGGATCGCCTTCCACGAGGATGGATCCGAGTCCCCAGAGGGTCAATCGGAGCCGGACTCCGGGGAGAACCACAGCCCGGTTGAAGCTGACCTGGCCGCTGCTGTGTCCCTTTCAGGAATGAGCGTGGACCATTGGGCACAACAGCCACCTGTATCGTCTGCAGATCTGTATCCCATGGCGGTTCCAAGAAACGGTGCTCTTGTAGATGCTTCGTATCAGCAGAGTTTACTCACGGACCAGTTCTATGAAAACGGTTGGTTGATTGACAACGCCCGACTTTGCAACACGAAAGCTCACACGGAAAGTTCTAGGCAACCAGGATGCTGTAGGATTCGACGCCCATTTCAGAGAGTTCGCCAACTTTCTCGATGGTGTTGGTCTGCCAGCGGAATGGAGTCCATACTTCCATGGCCCTGATCGAGAAAATGAGGTCCCGGACTCGACAGTGAAGGAATCGAGAGAGGGCACTGCTACACCTGGTGCTCGAAACAGCAGAACCCGTCCGGGCACTCCGTTCAGTTCATGGCTACCGTCAGCGCCTACAGGTAATCGCATATCCGAGGCCCTGCCAGACACAAGTAAGTCAGCAATACGGGCAACATGAACCTGAAGCCCAGCTGACTCTTAGCCAAGACCATCGGTCCATCGATACCGAGTCGCAGCCGTACCGTGTCTCGGAAGAGCAGCGGTTCCGCCTCAACGCTTCCATAGAGACGTTCCGAGACCTCCTCGGCCCGGAGTTCAAATTTCCTTCCCGTCATGCTCTCACTCGCTACATGACTTCTTTCTTCGAAGGTTTCCATTCCCATATGCCTTTCATCCACACTCCGACATGGCGGATATCTGAGCACTCGCTGGAGCTCATACTCGGCCTCGCCGCTGTTGGAGCTCAGTACTGCTTTGAGCATCGCATGTCCGAGAGACTGTTTCATGCCGGCAAGGTCATTATGTTGGAGAGACTTGTGCACGAGTCTGACAAATTTGGAGCCAGGGCCGGCTCTTCCCTAAATCTTCACAGTGCGTCACCCCAGCGCCGCGAATCAAGGGGCATTCAAGAGAGGGACTGGGGCTCATGGGAGCCCGTGGAGACGGTGCGAGCTCTGATTGCTCTTATGGGCTATGCTACCTGGGAACCCAAGGTGTCGCTAATGCAAGAAGCGTTTGCTTTACAAACGTTGCTGGCACAGGTTCTCCGTGAAATCGGACTGCACGAAGAGAACGAGTCAGAACTGAGTTCAGAAAAGAACTCACCACAAGCTTCTTGGCATGCCTGGGTACGAAAGGAGTCTACGCGTCGGGCGAAGCTCATCGCCTTCTCCTTCATGCACACACACAGCATTGCATACAACGTGTACCCTGTTCTGCGAAGCAACGAGGTCGGCCTTCGGCTGCCGTGTTCTACTGGCGAGTGGAAAGCACAAACTGCATGTCAATGGCAGATTGCTCGCCGCGAGGCTGGGAAGCAACAGCTCTTCTTCCAAGATGCTCTATCGTTGCTTTTGCGGAACACGGACGGCACAGCGCCTGTCGACCCCATCCCGACACCCCTGGGCAATTATATTCTCTTGCATGGTCTGCTCCAGAGGATATATATCGTCCGGGATCTTTCATTGCCAGTTATGGATCACTCGGCGTCTTTACCAAGCGAGGAGGTTGACAAGCTTGAGTGAGTCCATCCTTGTATCTTCGGTCTGAACTGAGTACTGACCTCTCTGATTCAGACGCGGACTCCGGTCGTGGACTGCAGGCTGGCAACAGGCTCCTGAATCGAGCCTTGATCCGAATAATGAGAATGGGCCTATCCCCTTTACTTCCAGCTCTTTACTTGGACTGGCATACGTTCGGATATACCTGCACCTCGGTCCATACAGATTGCTGGAGACGCGAGACCCCGTACGCATCGCGAAAGCTATTAGTCGGTCTCCTGCAGTGGAACGCAGCAGCGGTGTCACTACCGCGCTTCTGTATACTGCTCACATGCTCAGCATTCCAGTCAGGCTCGGTGTCGACCGTGTGGCTCGCAGTCAAGCATTTTTCTGGAGCGTCCGGCACTCGCTCTCGGGTCTCGAATGTGCCGTCCTGCTCAGCAAGTGGCTTTCGTCTCTTCCAGTCTCCACAAGCTCAACGCCGCTTAGTGGTAAGTCAACCAACGACAAGTTTGGGCCATTTGACGTCGATGAAACACTGCTGACAAAAGACGACAGATAGCGAAGACAGAATACTGCATTGGGTCCGTTGCATCGTGGAAGAGGCCTACGACGTTGTCGACTTTGAAGACGATGGGCTCGAGACGCCAACGGATCGGGATCCCGCATCGCTGAGTCTAGCAGTCCTTAAAATTTGGGCGCACTTCTTCAAGAGTAATACGCAATGGCCGTTCATAAATATCATTGGGAAGAGCCTCGAAAAGTATCGAGAACTTCTTATGCATAACAGGCCGCAGCGGGTTACTTGAAGACACTGGAAGTACTGTGCACGATTCGCCGACGGACTCTGGGAAGATGATCTTATACAAGATCGCTTGGACGGAACCTGCAGATAACTCAGCTTGGGCGATATGACAATACGGTGCTGTCAATCATCGAGGATCAGACATCAAGACAGCGAGAGCCGAGGAACAAGCTGATTATTCTTGCCATTTCTAGCTCCCCGTGCTGACGGGAAGAGACAACTTCTGACGCACTCGTAGTTAGTATGGCAAATTCTGGGGCGAGCTGCACTACGGATACAACCAAGGCAAATTACTTGAAATAAGGAGGTCCATGACTTTAGGGTTTCCCGAGTGCGAAACATGCCGATAGCTGTTACTTTGACCTGACATCTCCGGGATTTTTCGCTGCCACTATTGCCACTCCTGAAGACAAAACTTGCGATGCTGGTCTCCCAAAGGTCTTATGCGTCGGCATGCTTCGGACGGGCACAAATTCATTCCCGGCGGCCCTTGGGGGGGGGCTGGGCTTCAAGCATGTGTTTTACGGCCTCGATACCCGTGAAAAGCCTAGTCACTGTCTGTGTCTCGAGATGGTGTCAACTCCAAGGGCCTTTCACTCGAGAGGGCCAGGACGAGCTCTTTGATTTGTACGATGCAGTGACTGATCTGTCATGCTTCTAGGCGGTAGAGCTCATCGAAGCCTATCCGGATGTCAAGGTCATTCTCAGGTTTGGGAGCTTCGAGAGCCAAGTTAGCACATGGGCCGACCTTTTCCTGGAGAGGGTGGGCCTGATCGTTGGAAATCGGGCAGGATTCGCAACGCAGAAGACAACCAGCGGCTTCTTTGGTAACACACGTACGCTTGAAGAGCATTGATGAAGAGGTTCGTTAGAGGGCGATCAAGGCCTTTAGCTGCCATAACGAGCGAGTCAAAGCTTGTGTGGCTACGGTGAGGCCTCTCATTTATCGTATCGGCAGGGATGAATGGCAGGCCGCTCTGCAAGTTTCTCGGCAAGGAGGTGCCAAAAAGAAAGGATCACAAACCAACAACGAGCGCTCGCATCAAACAAGAACACAAGCAGCTTCGCAAAAAAAGCTAATGGTTCAGTCGGTGAAGTTAGTCTCGCCATACGATGCCGCTATTGTATATGGCGTGGCTGGGATGTTTTTAATCACTGGTGACAGACAGGGCAATTAAGTAGCTGTGAGCCCTACAAGATAGATCTCATTCTTACAGCTCCTGAATCGACGTAAAATGACATTGGAATTGCAGAGCAACGACTGGCTGAGTTGAGAGCAAGTTGCGCGACTCTGCTGCGATTCAGTGCACGGGTAAACTTGACTGCCGATAAATGGCCCATGCAGGCTTAGAAGGGACAGCATGGAAATACTTACGTAAGGCAATGAAGCAATGGCGGCGGAAGCCCGCCCAATGCAGCAGCTGTGTCATGGCAACAACAGCAGCGCAAACTGCGCCTTGCCTACCCCGCCATGCGTCGTGCCCCCCCCCGCCCCGACACCATAAAATGAATCCACTCAATAACAGTGTGAGCTGACGTAGCGGCGCCGCGTTTCGAGCTTCAAACGTCCAGGCCTGCTGTCTTCACCGCACTCGCCCTTACCTAAGGCGGCGTTAAATACATATTTCAATCGTCTCCCCCCCCTACATCTCCAGTCAACCCCAGAAAGTCAATCGCATCCTCGTGTATCTGGTCCACACATCCAGCCCGCCAGCATGCAGTCTGGCATCTCCGGCACGTCTTTCCATGAACACCGTGGTTTATCGTTTGTCTCCCATGCCACACCGCTAACATACAACAGCCTCCCAGGAGCTCGTCTCCCAATTCAACACCCTCCTATCGTCCGACGACCAGTTTGGGCTCCTCATCACGATCGACTCGGAGACCCTCAAGCCTGTCCAGTTTCTACCCAAGGTCGCTCCATCCGCCTCTTTTGACGACAACCTTGCCTCTCTCCAACCTCACCTCAAGCCCAATGAAGCTCTCTACGCCCTCCTCCGCCGACACGACACGGCTCCCCACCTCACCGCTGTGACCTACGTGCCCGACTCAGCCAAGGTCCGCCAGAAGATGCTCTTCGCCTCTACCCGCCTGACCCTCGTCCGCAAGCTCGGCTCCGAGCACTTCCGCGAGTCGATTTTTGCCACAACCCCGGAGGAGCTGTCTGCCAACGGCTTCGCTAGGCACGACGCCCACACCGAGCTCGAAGCCCCCCTGACCGAGGAGGAGCGCAGCCTCGGCGCCGTCAAGCAGGCCGAGCAAGAGGCGAGTACCGGCACCGGAACTAGGGAGATCCACCTGAGCAAGACCCTAGCCATGCCCATTGCCGAGGATGCCCTTGCGGCTTTGAAGGAGCTGTCTCCTGGAGGCGCCAAGATCTTAGTGATGCTGGTACGCGCCTGCCCATCCCCCTTTTTCGTTGTGGGAAGCAGAACCCTAACCTAGCTTCCCTACAGAAAATCAACCCCGAGAAGGAATCCGTCGAGCTCGTCCCCTCCGATGACAGCCCTTCCAGCATCACTGAACTCACCCAGACCATTTCCCCTACCGAGCCGCGCTTCACCTTCTATCGCTTCACCCACACCCACAACGGCGCCGAGACGAGCCCTCTGCTGTTCATCTACACCTGTCCCGTGACCCCCGGCAATAAGTCCATCAAGAATCGCATGCTGTACCCTCTCATGAAGCGTGCCGTTCTCGAGGTCGCATCCACCGAGGCTGGGTTGACGCTGGACAAGAAGCTCGAGGTCGAGGAGCCGGGCGAGATCACCGAGGACTCGGTCCTCTCGGAGCTGCACCCCAAAGTGACGGCCAGACAGGGCTTCAACAGGCCCAAGAGGCCCGGTCGCTAGAAAGATAAGCGTGACATGACGTTTGCTGTTGTGGGAGTTGTGGTTCGCAAGAGGCCCCAATTTGAATTAGAAGCGTGCAAAAGCATTTATTGGAACACAACCCCCGAGCCTGTGGATCGGGCTGATGATAGACACACAATTCCATCCGCAATGCATTACCTCTATGAAAGATGCGCATTCTCGACCTATCTACATATTCGCATGGCTACTCATCCCCGCCAACAACCTCTCCATGACCCACTGGTGAATCACGACAGCCGCCCTCCAACAGCATGCAGATTAGACCCTGGCATCTTTGCAAACAAAGACAGCGGACATCCACCGCTGGGAACAAACAGTTCGTTCTCAAGCATCGGCGACCTGCTTCCTCTTCTACTCCTCGAAATTACCCCCGGTAAAGGCGAGGTTGCTCTTCTCCAACTTCTCCTTGAGGAATTCGTAGACTGTGAACGTCACGGCCTGGCCGGGCGCGACGCGCATGATGCGCGGCGTGATGCCCTTGTAGAAGGCATGGAACCCTTCTTGTCTGTATCGGATCGTCAGTGTCTGATCGCCCATTTCCCCACAAACTTGGAAGCCAATCCCCCTCCAAGGTGAACCCAACTTACTTGAACATGTCACTAGAGATCTTGGCAATCCGACTCCAAGCGCTCGTACCGTACTCGGCCGGAGTCTTTTGCAATCTCGTCTTGATGGTATCGATGGGCGCGTTGCTCAGGGGCCCCATGGCGCCACTGAAGAGCCCGATGAAGGTTGTCTGCCAGCCGGGCAGCGTCGTGCCTTCGAACTCGGGCTGGTACTTCTTCAGCGCCTCCTTGAAGTATGAGTAGGCCGTGAAGTTGACGGCCTGATTGCTGCCCTGCCGCAGCGCCGTCAGCGACACGCCGCGGTACAGCGCGCCAAAGCCCTCCTCCTTGACGACCGTGTATAGCGCGTGCGCCGCGTTGCGGTACTTGGGAATATCGAGCGGGTCGGCCATGCTGTGGTGCTGCGCCTGGAGGCGGATCTTGATGACCTCCATCGGCGTCACAACGGCCACGGCCTCCGTGACACCGGCAGCGAGACCGGCTGTTCATACAAGGGTCCAGTCAGCGTCTCTCCCCTCGTATGGACGCGGTCGACAAATAGGTTGTTGAGTGACTCACCCATAAACGTTGCCTGGCCGCTGACCACGCCCGTCTGCTTATCCGCCAGCGCCTGTTTGTAACCCTCGAAGCTCGTGAACCGAATGGCCATCTTGGGTACGATGCCCGTCAGCACGGCGCCGAGACCCTTGTACAGGCCCAGCGGCGTCTCCTTCTTGACGATCTCGACACCTGTGCGGATGAAGCCGCGCTTGGGTGCGCCGGGCTGCCTCGCGCGCCGCGACAGCTGCATCCGGACCTTGATCGTGTCTGTGGGTGGAAGACGTTAATCTACATGTCGATCGGGTGCGTCTGTGAGGGCAATGCGCAGGCGCATGCGCAAAGGGGGGGGGGGATTCAACGACATGTATGCAGGTAGGGTTCTTACCGAGGGGATGACACGCCAACGCCTCCATCATCCCAGCACCTCCACCAGCTGTTGAACTGTATTAGTCGTGATCGGTATATCTCTCTATCTTCAAGAGACGATTTTCGTATCGGTACATACCAATGAGGTTCGTGGCCGCTGAGGTCGGCGTCTTGCCGTCCTGCTTTACCTTGGACGCCATGGTTTACGAGGGTGACGCTGCGTGGGATCGAGGTAACAGAAGACAGAGAGAACAAGGCTTGCGCCGGAGTCTACAAAGAACAAAACAAGTGGTCTTGCTGGTCTTCTTAAAATGCGTGATACTTCAGAGCGAACAGAGAGGGGAGAGGGGGTATCATGTAAATCACAAGGAGAGGAAGAAGACTTGGGAAGAAGTCGGGACAGAAGAAGAAGGCTCGGAACAAGTCGTCGGGGAGATACAAAGCAAACATCCTCGGCGCCGATGATGAAAGCCACGGCAGAGCGGGCAGGAATCATCCATATCAAGGTGGCGTGTGAAAGGGGACTTGGAGGGGGGGTGTGGCTCGACCCAGAGGTCAAGGCACAAGCCAGAATCGAAAATCAGGCCTGTTCCAAGCGTTGGATCTGGCAGATGACTCAAGGTTCTGTGCTCCCAAGCACGAGGTAGGCGTGTGGGAGGCGTCCGTCCCGGGAGCGTGTATGCCTCAACGAGGAAGGCATGAGGAGGAGCAGCATGGACAGGGCCCAAAAGCGAAAAAAAGGCATTTGAGGAGAAGGCCCCTTTCATCCGCGGCACAACGTACTGGAGGCCAGACGCCAGGACACACCAGCAGACACCGGCGCCAGGGGTTTCGGTAAAAGTAAGCGCCAGATTGAGGGGGTGGGGGTAGGAGGGGCGTATGTATATTGGTACCTAGACTTTGGACGTCTTCCAGGCAGCGGCCGTACAAAGAGGAGGGGGGCTGAGAAACGGGAGTAGCACCTAAAGGATGCGCAGCAAGATTGCGCAGGTGAGTGACGCTGCGCAGTGCGGGAACGTCGTCTGGGTGGCTCAAACCATCGAATCTTCAGACATCTGTAGCGGGTTGCGACAAGATTGACAAGTCCATCCCGATTCGGCGGAACGGAGAGACTAGAAGGGGCCGGGGGAGGGGGGTGAACTGGAGAGAGGGATGAGGGGAAGAAGGCCATTGACACGACCGCAAGCGTACGCTAGAACACCACCTAAGTCCTCAGAGCATTGGTGAGAGCTCTGCCTAGGTACTTCCTCTGCTTCAAGGGAATAGATGCAAATCCCTGAGTGCCACTGCCGTTGCTGCAGCTGAAGGTCCAATTGGCTTCTCATGCCCTACCCTTCCTCCTCTTCGTCTTCTCCAATGGGCCAAGGTTTTCCTTTCGGCCTGTGACAATTCCTTTCCCTACGGAAGCGCAACGACGAGTGACGTAGTGCCAATGAGACCCGGTTCCAGCGCGGCATGCTGCGGCAGAGCACACTTGCGGCTTTGCCGACCCTAAGCCGCCGAGCTTGTGATTTTGCGGGGGAGACACCTGGGCTCTGGAGCTGGCGACGCTGGAGTCAGAATGTGGGGATCGGATACTTCCGCCCTTCCGACTGGGCCAGGGTCATTCGTCAGGAATTGCCGAGGTTCGGAGGCTGGTCCTGAGCACTCTTTACCTCTTTGGCGATCTCCCTCCATCCGTCCAGTCCAGTCTTGTTTAACACATTCATACGTGCGCACTATCCCTGTATCTGACTGAGAGGTGACAAAAAGGACCAACAACTTTACCACATCCTCATGAACCTCATGGCTCACGACTCCTGACGGCAGGACGAGATATGGGGGGAAATCGGCCTGAACCCAGAGTGTTATTTGCAGCTACGGTATCAGACGAAAAGTCACAAGCAGTGACGGACAGCACAGCCGCATACGTGTAAGACGGAAGCATGTGATGTGGTAATGTTACGAGTCGTAAGTTTTGGTAGTGGATTATATGGGGCCTCAAGCTATATCCTATACTTGGATAGTGAGAGCGTGCCACTCTTCTGTTTTCTTGTTTTGAATTACCATCCAGTTGGTTGCCTTTGTCTCCGGCAACATAGCTACACGCACGCCCCTAAACGCCACCCATATGATCGGGTCTTTTCCCCCTGGTTCCCGTGGTCCTCAAGGACGTCTAAATACTCTGAACAAGAAGGTACAAATAAATGGTAGCTTTTTCCCCATCATGCCATGGTGTCCATCCCTCGTAAAGTCGCTGTCGGGAATCATTACGCCAAACACCCGCCAAATGAGACAGGAAAAGAGGGGATAAAAAGAAAATAAGTCAACCCTCGGAGAGAGAAAAAAAAAAAAAAAAGAAACCGAGCCCAATGATTTGGTCTTATGCAGGGGTGCCGCACTCTTCAAGCAGAGGGCCATCTGCCTCAAAACTGTAGAGACGTACTTCGCCATCTTCGCTTCCGCTGGCCATGCGGCTATCGCTGAGACCGACGCAGGTGACGGGACCAGAGTGGCCAGTGAAGGTGCGTTCGCACTTGCCGCTCTTGGGTTCCCAGACCTTGACCATGGAGTCGTTGGCGCCGGTGACGATGCGTAAAGTATCGCCAACAAGGCCCCAGATGCCCTCGACGTGACCAAACATGGTGCGAAGACACTTGCCGGTGTGGATGTTCCACACCTTGACGGTGTTGTCAAGGCCGGCGGTGAGCATGTAGCGGGGCGGCAGCTGCCGAGTGGAGTCCGAGGAAAAGGCGCAGCCGAACGAAGGCCGGTCGTCTTCCGCCGTCACCAGGTCGCTGCCGAAAGAGGAGCCGAGAATGGACGCTGCATTGGCAGACGCCGCCGCCGGGGTCGTACTCCGGCCACTGTTGACCGACGCATTGTCGTCGCCAGCGAGCGCCTCCTCATCCGGTTCAAAATCGTCGGGCATCAGCAGAATCTGCTGCACCTGACCCATGTGGCCCTCGAAAGTCTTGATGCATGTCTTGTTTCGCAGGTCCCAGAGGCGGACGGTGCAATCGTCAGAGGCCGAGAAGAGCGTCTGCGAGCCCGGGTCCAGCCTTACTTGGTTGACCCAGTCCTCGTGGCCACGAAGGCAAAAGGTTTCTTTACTGTCAAAGTTGAAGATCTTGATCGACTTGTCGATGGAGCCTGATGCCAGGTACTTTCCGTCGAAATCGACCGTGATGACGCCTTCAGTGTGGCAACGGAGAGTGCTGATGCAGTCGCCTGTCTGCCAGTTCCAGACTTTGACGGTGTGATCCAAGCTGCCGCTGAAAAGCTTATTGCCAACAAACTTGAGAGTGCGGATGCCCATCGTGTGACCGCTCAAAGTGCGAATCTCTTCCCCCGTCTCGATATTCCAGATCTTGATCTTGGCGTCGTACGACCCTGTGGCAAGGATCTCGTCATCAAACTGCAAACAGGTGACACCGTTGTCGTGGCCTTTGAAGGTCTTGATGTGGCACCGACCGTACTTCCAGTTGAAGCCGACCTTAAAACGGTCGCGGTACACGCTCTTCCATGGTCGGACTAAGCGTTCACGCTCCTTCTCGGTTCCCAACTTGGGCGCCATAGGCTCGCCCGGGTCGCTCAGGCAGGCTCGCTTCCTGCTGTCGTCGAGCACGACAAGCTCCCGTTTTTTATTGGCGTTGGGAGACGATACTGTCGCAATCTCCTCGGCCTGCTCCGCGGCCTGGACGGGCGCGGCCTCCTGTAGACTCCTGGCTTCGGCAAGCTCCTTCTGCTTGTTCCAGTCTCGTAACCTCTTGCGCTCGAGGAGGGGCAAGCCGAAACCGCACTTGGTACACTTGCGGTCGATGTGTTGCTCGCACATGCGGTGCCATACGACGTCGTCGTCGGCAAGGTCCCGCCATCTCCTGCTCACCTGAGCGGCCTTGCAGAGGGAGACAGTGTCGAGGTAGCCAAGTACCTTGTACGATATCTCGGTCGGAAGTGCGGCCATAAAGTCGATCTTGAGTTGCTCGTGCACTTCTCTCGAGACGGTAGACAGCTGTGGGAAGCAGCATTGTGTGATGATGCCCTGCAGCATTAGGTCGCGGTGCTTAGCGGGAGCGGCCGAGAAGAGGGACCAGACGTGGGTGATGGCCTGTTGGTCGGCGGAAGGAAGCTTATCGAGTTCCTGTGCAGGAGAAGTGTCAGCACAGAGTCGATAGGCCCTATGGACATCACGGCAAGGCAAGCTTACACTTTGGATTAAGACCATCTTGGACTCGTCAGCGGCGCGACGACACTTTGCGTCGGGGCGGTGACGGTAACAGAACTTGCTGTTGGGGTCGCGGTTCTGGTTGAGGCTGTTGTTGTTATTTTGGACATCAGGTTTTCCGATAGGAGCATAGATGCCAGGAATGTGTTCTCTGAGGAAGGGGGTGACGGTCTGGCCGACGAGTTGAGTAGGCATGTTGGCAGGGAACTTTGAGACGTCGCCGTCGTCGGGTCGCCTTCTATCACAGTTGTCTCTGGATGGATGGTTCGCTGTTGTCACATCGTCGGCGAGGGAAACCGTGGTTGAGGGAGCAGCTGAAGCGGTGAAGGTTGGGGTGCTGTTGAAGTATGAGTCGGACGAGGCAGATGTTGAGGCTTGGTCGTCATGACGGTGACTGGGCGACGACGGATTCGGGTTCCTGTCCAAGCCCCCCAGGTTAAGGTTCAGGGTCCGGGGATCCGGGACGGTTGACGTGCTTTCGAGGTCCATAGCCGCAATATGTTTCAGCGGGCAGTGGAGCGAAGCAAGACACAGTATAAAGGGTATGAGGGTGGATGGTATCAAACCATCCGGGGCAAGAGACGGACGGGCTTGCTTGGTGTTACCGGGTGTAGGGAGGTACAAGAGACGCAGCCTACAAGCGAGCAACAGGAAGCAGAGCCCCGAAGAGGGTCAGAGACCAGCGGCGGGGGGGCAGAGAGAGATGGGAAGGGAGCCGTGGACAGTGACACTCAAGTGACAGGTCGTGGGCCGGGTTGTTTTAGGTGAGGGTGAGGCGAGAGGACCTGGCGATGGCGTGCGAGCCAGGGGAGCGTCGATTCGTATATATGCTGTACGATTGCAGCGGCTGCAACAGGTTTGGCGTCCGTGGTATCTTTTGCTTGGGTAGGCCTTCGAACAGGCTAGGTAGACCAAGATGCGAGCCCAGACAATCCACAGGAACGGGGTCCGACTGGTTCAGAGGGTTGGGTTTGTGTGGAATCCGAGCAAGGACCCGCAATCGTGGTGCAGTTTGTACAAGTGAGCGCCTCTCTCTTTCCCTCTGTGGTACGCGCGCACAGATGGACGGGCGTGTAGGTATTTATGTTGGGACTCGAAACAGGTGGGTGTTGGCAGGAGGTTGAGCCGCTGAATGATTCGCTGGTCAAGCACAGAGAGGAGGACGTCGTTGCTTTTTTTCTTGTTGTTATTCTTGGATGCCGTCGCAAGATTTGGTCGACAGCCCGAGGAGAGTTGGTCTGAAGTTGAGACTCGAAGGGGGTGTGTTGCGTAGGTAGTAACGGCTAGGTTTGGACGAGGGTATGCTATCAGCGGTCGTCAAAGTGCAGCGTGGAGCCAGTCGTCTTCGCCTTTGGTGCTGGCGATGTCGTGCGTAATGAAAGGGGAAGAGGGTATCCAATGTGTCTTGTATCTGGCTGGTATTGCTCCTGTCTCTGATCCGTCCGTGAGAGAGGAGAAGAGTAGAGACGAGAAGGGGTCCTCAGTACTTATCCGCCGTTTCGATTGCGTTCGCGGGTAACAGAGAGGAAAGCTGAGCGACTGGGGTCAGTCGGGCTGCGAGCGATTCTTTCAGGAACCAAGGAGTATAACCAACCGCTGCCCAAGTTGAGCAAGCATAGCATAGCATAGCATAGCATAGGTAGGTAGGTAGACTACCTAGGTAGCATGGCACAACGGCGCAAGAGATTTGGATGTGGATGTCGAACCAAAGAGACGGGTTGGGTGCTTTGGGGCGAGAATGGCGTTATCGCTAGGAGATGAGCACTCCGATGGTCCGTGTGTCGAAGGAAGAAAGGCCTGCCTCCCTTTCTCTCCCCCCAGAGGTTCCACCCGTCGACAGCGGCTCCCAGGGGTCGGAAATCCGCTAAGGCGTATCCGTACTCCAAGACCCACTTGGATTGCCAGCAGCTGTTGTCCTGAAGCTAAGGGATAGGCGGTGACGGCTACCGACGCGGGTCTCGCTCCACAGCACCCTCACCGATAGCCGAGATGCATCTCCGACAAGCGACACCGCAGCTGTTACGTAAGGCGAGGTACCTCGACGTTACGGAGTATGGTACTGGCGCACCCTCTTCCGCGATGCACCAAGAACTAGGGTTTTTGCACGCCAGGCGATGGACTGCTTACCTGCTCGCATGGCATGGTTATTATTGTTTGAGCTGCCTGTGTCCGTATGTATAACCAGTTTACATTAGGTAATTACCTAGCAATCTACTCAGCGCTAACTTTGTAGGCTGTCATCAGTTCCCCAGTTTCATCATGGCAAGTGCTGGTCGAGCCTCAAAGTGGGGCCACAGCAGCATATGCCCAACATCTCGCTGGGGAACTCGAAAACACCATTCGGCGCTTGTGTCCTACTGTCTACAATACGCAGATACTATGTACCCCGACCTAGGTGGGTCACCTGGAGTGCGTTTTGCCTAGGTAGGCGTGTAAAGCAGACGGTAATTCCGTCAATCACACCTTCGGTTGGCTTTATCTGACAGCACGCTCGACCATGCACTAACATATACTGTACATGGTCAGGTGTCCCTCAATGTTTTGCTTTCACTTGTCTCTTTCGCCTCCGTTGCCTCTGGGGCCCAGGTTAGCTCATCGTGGCCACCTCTCGCGTAGTTTCTCTCTCGTCATCTTCTGGATCCGATCAAATCGGCGAGCCTGGAAGAGCACGAAGAATAAATAAAAAAATCTTCCGTTTCCACTGACAACAGCCATGGACTCCGCCCCCCGTACGCGAGGGCTTCGCTCCCGGCTTCGTCGGCATAAAACTTACGATGCTTCAATTCCTGAGCTCGTCATTTTATTGTGGGTACTTTGCTTGACTCATGCTGTTCGTATATCTATTTACCCTAGACGTAAAGAGAAGAAATACATAATGAATGCACAAGGGCTACCGCAAACTAAACTACGGACGGATACAATGACTGTACTCCAGATTTCTGTGCCGCGCCGAGTACCGACGATGAGTTTAAGGCCGACGCCTATGTCGCCATCCTGGCCGTCAATCTCCCCAATCGGGATGAGCTAACGCGAGCCTGCAATGGCGTCATTTTCTCAGCCCGCAGCTGATTGCAACTCTCTTCCGTGATTGCTGCAAGCACCTCATTCTTCTTCCAGAACCACATTTCTATCCGTATGGCTTCAATCCTGTAGCCCCATTCCCTCATCTCCTGCTTGGTTCGGCTGTATCTAGGTAGATGAGCATGATGAGGTAACCATCCATATGTAATCCTCATCAGTATTCAACAGTCAAAGGTGCCGCTGGTCCGCCCGTATCATCGGCTTGCCATCCCTGACCAAACTCAATCACCGCGCTAGCACCCCGGAGCTTCTTTGATTCTTTCGGCTCCTTCTCCCCGCCGCCGTTGAACATCTTTTTCTCGAAAAAGACCTTCAAACATGGCATGCCTTGTCAACAGCGTAACCCACCATTGGCTAGTAATTCATTGACTCCGAGATCTTCTCCGGCCAAGACTGCAAGCCTGCACTCCATCCAACCAGACAGACGACCGACAGCCGCGGTGGAGCCACCGCCACCAGACCCTGGATATCGCCGGCTTGCCCCACTTCCCCAACCCTTGTCCTAACCCTTCACCGAGACAGAGAGCTCTCTACCTACATGTTTGTCCGTATCTATTGATTCTACACTACCTCATCTTGTAGAGCTCGGCTGGGATGAAGGACCTCAAGATAAGATTGGCGGACCACGCAATATACACTTCTGCTTCCTCATGCAATGCTTTCCAATCTGGCACTGATAGCATTTCCCGGATCCAGCCGCCTACGTCCTTCCAACTACGTCTTAGCATCTGAGTTTTATCCTTGAACCAGATGACAGCATTCAAAGACAAACGGAAAAGAGAGCCACGATGGCCCCTCTCATCCTTGGTGTGAATCAATGGGCATCCGCAAACGAATTTATCATTTGGCAGTAGGGCTGCTCAGCATTCTGCTCCAGTACGCCATTGCCAGCAAAGTTCCCAACATGGGCAGAAATAAAGAAATCAGACATCAGCAGAGGGCCGGCTGATACGCTCGTAATGTAGACATTAGAGCTATTGAAGGACAGGTACGGATACTTTGGTAGGATTTGGATGATCAGGTCGTCAATCGCTTGAGCGTGGGCGACGCCATTAGGGCGGGTAAGGTTGTTGCCGCCTCCCCAGCGGAGGTTCGTTCACATCTATCGGAAGAACAGCCACCCCAGCTCGGTTGTTCCTTACGCCCTGGTTGGGCATCTGGAAGAACGACCCGCCGCCGTCACCGTGTTACAGGACGTTAAGTCCTAGGGTTCCCCCGCCGCCGGTTTTACCGCCACCGGAGACTCCACTAGCAGGAGTAAGCTCGCTAACAGGACCGCTAACACGAAACCGTATCTTTAACCCATTAATCGTCTTGTCAGTATTTTCTATAAACCTATTCAGGATCTACAAGGAGGAGAAACCTGCTTTATAGTCTCAGTAGTATCCAATACTACGGAGCCGTCTTTAGCCTGTTTTATGCCTTGCGGTACTCTGTCTGCTGCATCTAATGGAGTCTCGGCTCTTGTCTGTAGACCCCGGACGGTACTAAGTAGGGCAGTAAGAAGTACATAGGCGGCTGTTAAGTAGGTTAGACACTTCATCTTGATAAAGTATTTACTCGAAATTGCTGTGCCTTAGCTAGGGAGGAGTGATAATAATGCGAGAGAGATGTGAAGAAAATTCCGACCAACGTAAAGTCGGTCCAGCTTTACACTTAGTATTACACGGCGTTATCTTCTCCGACCACGGAGGTATTCTAAAGCAATAATAGGTATTGTAAAGTATTAAATTTCTTTCTTGCGGTGACTTGAGAGTCACGCCAAGGGTTTAGTCCAAACCATTGTACACGATTGTTTCATTCAGCATCAGCCGTCCTGTTAGGGTACGAGTAATGCGCCAGTGGGTGAAAAGCGCAATAACACAATCGACATCCTAGATTATAACCGTCATATTGCAAGATACGGTATGCGGGATGTAATAGCTGCAATTAGCCACTCATTGGCGTGCTTTTATCACGGATTGAATCGAGAAACATGCATTGAAACCCCCCAACCCTAACGATACATCATCCCTACTACGAAGTCGGGCTTATACAACGACGTATTGCGGCTCTTTCAAGATGCCATTTCTTGATTATCACAAGTCATTCTAGACTATATTACAATACGCGCC